TCCCAATGCTATCCTGTCAAGTGTCAGTTATGGATGGATGAAAGCTTCATTTACATTTCTGGTTACAAGTTCATTTCTTCTTCTCTGTATTTGAAAATAATCAAGATATCCAGATTTAAAGTAAACCAAAACTGTATTCACCCAAAAGAAGAAGTCAAAAGCAAGAAATTTCAGCCCAAATAATATTTCTCTTTAATAAAAATTAAAGAGAATGCTGCCAGCAATTGAAAAAGGCTGTAGACTGAAACTCTTACCCATTACATTTTTAAACTAATGCAACATGTAAAGGAAGATTTTAATGTTAGCTTTGTAGCACAGCCAACATGTTGAACACAGTCATTTGGTCCAGGCAACTTTATTTTTTTTCATTGGCTTTGCACCAAACTGCAACTGAGTAGACAAATTGTTACAGGTTTAAAATCCATAGCAGAGACAGGAACACTWCACTGAAAATCTATATATATGCAAAGTAAGAAACAAACAAGGYACACCAAAAAATCACCCAGCACACCTGAGGTTATAGAGAGCACTTCACATCTTACCAAGACTCTCTTGCTGCACTAGAACACTACTTACATCTCAGACAGGGATCTTGTACCTTGAAGAAAACAACTCAAAACCAGGAAGACTGTGAATTTCTCTGGTGAGAAAAGCTGCATCAAGACAGGAAGCTCCCCTTGGAAAGGCCATCAAAATTATCCATCAATTTATCCATCAGGCTTAGGAATAATGGCAAAATTGAAGAAAAAAATCCACAGCAGGCCTTCCAGTTACAGAGATAAAGGCATGCTGAATCCTAGGCAAAGTGTAGTACACTGTTTTTGAGATCTACTCCCAGAATAAAAATATCTTCTAGTGAATAGGAGTGTTGTTGGTATGCAACAGGATAGCCTGACCTGTATGAGCCTGACCCTTGGGATTCACATGAAACCTGCTTTTAAGCCTCATCTGAGTGGCCTTCAGGGGCGAGGCTATTCAAAATCCAAACACAGATTCCATGTTTCACTTCAATCTCCAGTTTGTGGAGACCTAAGTCCATTTTTACAGCAAGGCAAAGCTGGTCCCACCCACTGGCTGCAGTTTATGAAAACACAAAACCAAGATGTGTCCTTTTTAGTAAGCCTGGCCTTTCTCACAGAGGCCCAAAACCTTAACATGAAGCTTTGGATAGATAGCCAAAGCACTAAGCTGCAGCACAAATCAAGCCATGAGCCTCAGCTGACTGAATGGCTGATTGATGCTGCAGGGAAAAGGTTCTGTAGACTCCTCCTGTATCTCTACTCCCAGTCAAACCCTTCCTCTGCTCCCCTTGTGGCAGCACTGGCTCTCATCTGAYGAAGCTGATTCACTCTACTTTCTCTTCAGCTGAGAGAAGAAAAATATAGCAAAAATGGAGAGCTGAATCATGTCAGGCTCAGACCATCACCAGTAYCCTCTCCTGTAAAAGGAAGGAGGGAGCTAGTGGGACAGAAAGGATAGCTAAAGAGGTCCAAGATCTTTCCCCTTTTGTAACAAGAAATTAAGTTGGCCTAATTGTCTTGCTCCATATCACTTCTCCCAACTGCAGAAAATAGTAAATTGAGTAATTTACACCCACACAAGAACAAGAGAGTTTGGAGTACACCAGGAATGTTTCAAAGAACCATTCTAAAAATTTCTGGGGGACACTCACCATACCAATGACTTCTCTCAAGGCAAAATACTTTTCTGTCAGGTCTCCCGCTTCGCTCAGTGGAGCATCATAGTCATAACTAGTGGGCTGAGGCATATAAGGCATATTAGCACCTAGGGGAGGAGGAAAAAAGAAAAAGTAATGCAAACAGTGGAAGAGATGGGTTTTTTTCCAAAGGTATCAACTTCAAGAATTCTTTCTGGTTACAGCCAGACTCTGCTAYGTTTTTAGATTCAGTGCAGACCTTGATGTTTGGGATTTGGCATAAAAAACTGTTCTTGATGGAAGACAATGTCCTTGTGAGCTTACACCGCTCTGTGAAATATTCTGAACATAAGCTCATTTATCTGTGATTCAGCTGTTTCACAGGACTGAGTCAAGCAGAAGTAGCTTTGGCAAAGATAAATATCATGTGGGTTTAATACAACATAATGGCAATAAACACAGCTACTGCAGTCATCCTTCATCATGTTCAAGCAGGCACAGTTAATTCTTTCACAGAATACATTACTMTCTAATTCATAAACAGCTCCCCTCCACCAATTATATCATTTAAATAATTTCTTACCATTCCAATAGGCAAAGTTAGTCCCACCTATAAACATGTACCTAAAAAGAAAAAAAATCAGGTTTTGCTGAACTGGGAAAAGAAATCCCCCCAAAATTAAGCTCTACCGAACACACACTTACAGGTTAACGTTAGCACCACGTGCCAGGATTTCTTTAAGTGTTTTAGCTATAATTTGTGCAGGCACAACAGAATGACGGTGCCCCCAGTGATCCAACCATCCAGTATAAAACTCAGAATTAACCTGAAAGGAGGAAGGGCAAAAGAGGAAGGGAAAACATGAAGAGGGAACAAGAACAGAATGCAATGTGATTTAARGTTCCTAACTGTAAGAGGGAAGGAAAAAAAGGCACCTTGACTAATTTGAACCATTTCTAAACTACTGTAAATACAGCAMGTATATACAAAATCAGTCCTTTTCAGCAGACTACTGGTCAAAGAAATTATAGAATTGTTTCAATAATTTTATAGGGACACTTTGAAAACAATTGCTTGCAGGGCAAGGATTTCATGGGAACCTGTCAACAAGGATGTGTTTCAGATGCTTGGCATTCAACTAGATGATGGAACTAACATATTCTCTGCAGAATAGCATACACAGACTGGATATAATGAAAAATAAATATTTCAAATTGCTTTCTAAACAGCTCCATAGCACAGAGATAATCTTATACACTCATTAGGGCTTCTCCCTTTGTCAAAATGGCTTCCAGTATTCTCACATCCCACTCTAGCTCATGTAAAACCTCTAGGTTAGCTGAAAACAGGAAGCAACTTATAACCTGCCCTTTCAATTTTGCTTTTAGCTTCCACCTACACACGTATCTCACTAACTCATCTAACCATCCTAAGTGTTTCCACCGCTTTGTAAACATTTGTCTTAGCAAGGAAAACTACTGAAACATAATCAATACTTTTTGAGACTAAAATAGCATTTGCGAACAGCGGTTAATGTGGACATACACAGAAGCTCCTCTATTCACTTTTTCTGACTTGGAAATTATATCTTCATCAACAGGTCCCTAAAACTGATCAATGCACTGCTRCCAACTCCTCTCTGATTCATAATCTCAAGATTAGAAATCATACAAAAAAATTAAATGAAAAGACATACCAAAGGGCCCTTAGGTTCACTGCTCCTTTGAGCTGAGAATGCTGCTGTGACATTGCCACCTATAAACAGAAAGAAACAGAATTGAGTTGCTATATCCATGACTTTCTGGGTCCTTAATTTTACTGAAATTGGTGTCTTATCTTCCTTCCAGCCTAGCAAAAATCATGACAGGAAAGCTACTCCAGCAAACACAGGAATCAACACTTTTGATTCCAATGCTTAATTTGCAAAAACTATCTAAAATATATACATGCAAGTATGCATGCTTGTGTACATGTCTTTGCTTTTGAGATACATCTTTTGAAAACCCAGCTTTTCTCAGAAATGACAACCTGGCACAAAGTCTGAGATGTGTCAGAATTGCTACTTGATCTTTGGAAAGTCTAGGTCTGGGGTGATGTTACCAAGGCTACGGGGAAGAACAGAAGCCAGGCAACCTCTAAAGAGGTGTTTCACTTTTGATCRCTCCCAGTGGCTTAAGCCACAGTGACTGGAAATAACCACTCTGGTGAGTAGCTCACCACTGCATTAAATGATACACGTGAAGGAGATCACAATTTCACTCTACTTGTAAGAAAACAGAACCCTGCTAAGCACACATTTGGCTGTAGAGAGAATAATGTACAGAAGAGGCCACATGCACAAAAAAAAAGGAAATATCTGTCTTGGAGTTTGTTTCTTGTGACTTAAGCCTATCTTGTCAAGTCCATGCAGTTCATGACCATTTAAATCCTTAACTCTCCTATCAAAAGGGTACTTTTTRATCACACTCCTGATGCTTAGCCATTCTTCAGGCCTATATAACAACAAATTGTAGCAGTGTGCACACATTTCTAATGATCTTCAACAGCTTTTTTTTTTCTAATAACCTCTGGCTTAAAAAGAAATGTTTTTGGGTGGCTGGATTCTAGGACAGACCAAAGATGTTAAAAAACCCCAACACACACWCAAAAAATTTAAAAATACATGGAATAAATGTCAACAATTATTGCTAATTTTTAGGAGATATGCACTATGAGCAGTTTAAAATCGTTATCCATTATTTCAAGATGCAAGGAAGTGATTATTAYTCCCTAACTGGGTGCTCATGGGTGATTCTTGTATGTTTTAAAGTACACCAAATATACACAAATGCCCATTACCCCATTGAAACAAAGCAGGCAGGTTTGGCAAGCAGTCARGTCAGTTTGTCCTGCCACAAACACTCACAAATGAGAATTTTTGGTATCAAACAGCGATCTCCAACCTGGGGCAAAGTCCACTGTTGCATAAAGACCCTGGAGAGCCCCACATTTCAAGTGAAACCGGCTTGCACCATCAGTTGTGAAAAGCACCACCTCATCCCCAAGATGCTGGCGGAAGAGCTTCAGAAGGAAGCGCAGATAGTTGTAGTCGCAAGCGAAGTAGCTTCCATACTCATTCTCCACCTGCAGAGGAAAAGCAAGTAAAGCCACAGCAAATTTCATCYGCATCTGATAACAAAACCAGAAAGCTCAAGTCCAACCCTCTACTTCCTTTGACAGCAATGTTGAAAATGTCATTTTAACTACAGATCTGAGGAGTAAGAGAKGACAAGACTCACTCCTCTCACCTGTATCTTACAGGGAAGCAATCACTCTGCATGCAGAGCAAAGCCATTTTCTTGCAAAATTCCCCCCACCCTAAAGGCATCTACTTACCTATAACACAGTCTCTATTAAATTTTGAAATCTATAATCTGCCTTCCATGCAGAATAAGAAAGCCATAGAACAGATTGTGAAATTATCAAAACTGCAACAGAATTGGACATTCAGAACAGGTWTCTACAAAGAGCTCACATGAATCACAAAGCCCTGCAATGGACTCAAAAGAACTTAGTTGAGAAGGACARCTCGCTACTTCTGAGAGGTACACATCTCATCCTTTCCCAAGGAGATGAACTCTTGACCTCCAGATCTAATAGGTTCCAATCCTGAAGGCTATTTCTGAAAATCCTGTTATAATCATATTATTCCTGCCAAAGAATAGTTTTGCCCAGTACTTCTGCTCAACAGACAAAACACATTGCTCAACAAAATTATCTTGGGCATATTAAAAGAAGGATCTCTTCCAGTCAGGGAATTCTAAAAAAATGAGATCAAGCTTTTGTTACGATCAGATACTAAGAATATAGAACAATCACCCTTGCACAGGTAAAGGGAGTTTGAGAGAGAAGCTACTCACCATGAATGTACAAAATTGTGTACTGAAACATTTACAAGTTAGATGCTAAATTTTGAGGTCATTTTTCTCACAAGTTTTAGGCTTATTCCATATTGCTTTTGCTTCTATCTCTGGGTATTCTTATTATCTTTTTTCCTGTCAGATTGTTTCAGGTGACTGTAATGTATTTTCACTTTATGCAAACCTTAGGTCTAAAAAGCTGCACAAGYTCCCTCCATTGGTTTATGTGGTTGTGGGAAACAACTTTGACAGAGCTGATGAGTGCCCGCTGAGTTCTAGAGACAATACATTCAGTTCTTTAGAATAAGGCATTTAATCAGAATCTTCCAGCTGCCTGGAACTGTTAAGAAACACCTGTCACCTAAGTGACACCACCACCCAAGACCCATGGAGTGTCTGSACAAGCAGTATAAGCATTCATWCKGCTTGARTTMATCTGATTTTCAGAAAGTTACCTGMACCATGATGATTGGGCCTCCATTCTGATAGAGGTAAGGCCTCATCTTTGGCAAAAGGACACTCATCCATCTCTCYACTGCTTCCAGATAATCTGTGATACACAAAGTATAAACGTTTCACATTTCTGCTTTAATCTATCTTTGCTTTAAATTACATGTGGSTTGCTTTTACCCAATGTTCTAATTATGTAAATTATGAACAGCATTAAATTAATAGCTTGCTCTTATACTTGAACAGATGTGCTCTTACACTTGTTCATAAATGTCAGCTCCCAGTACAGTTTACTAAAAAATAAAACAATTAAATATTGACCAACTGGGAAAATTTTCAAAGGGACTTCATTATGTCTCACAGGTTGACCTGAAACATTTCAATAGGAAGACAAATTCAGCTGCTAATCTATGTACTATTTTTGAAAATAAATAATTTAACCCACAATTAGCAGAAGTGAAGTTGGATATGATATCTATATATTCATCCCCTACATGCACTCCAATAAACACATTGATCTCCTGTCTCATCTCACTGTTCCACATCTGGACCATGAACAGGAAGCACATGAGAATGTTGTAAGTAGTTCCAGATCACACACTGACCAGCCAAGGAGGACCCCCACTGCAAGTGGTTGTGGCAAAACCAAAAACCTCAAAGCTGAAARSGTCTTTTTCTCAGTGAAGTGATTCMMCTCTTGGCACCAACTTCAGAAACTTTCTCCCCTACTTCTTTAGTTCTGTATACTTTTGAATGCACTCTTCTAATTATAAGTTGTGAAGATTTTACTTACAAGAAAGCTTGAGCTGAAATATGAATTATCTAGTAATAACCTCCAACAGCAAGTTACTTTGCTACTGAAACATATTTCTGACAGTCTTTTTTGATCCCTGTACCTGAATCAGAAGACCTGAGAACAATGGACTTCTTCTCCAAGAGCCATGCAGGAAGACCTCCCTGGGAAAAGAAAGGGAAACACTTCAGTGACATTTTTAGGAAACCTAAGAAGTATTTGCCATTTAATTCATAGGAGATGAAAACTGATTTTCTACAAGAAAGTAGTAATAACTAATGAMAAAAACAAATACAGAGTAAGCTTGTGTTTTAAGAAGTCACTTAGGATGCATGGATTTTAATACATTAAACCAAGAATCTTGGCCAAGGATATACCACATAAGTTTGTCTACTTTTAAGAAACACTTGCACTACATTTACCCTAGAAATGAGCTGTTACAAAAGGTTGTATACCATGTCCCATTCCGCACAGATGTAAGGTCCAGCTCTCAGGATAACAAGCAATCCAGTGTCGTTAGCAAGCTGCAGGAAACTTTCCAGATCTTTGCCACCAAAAAAGTCATAAACGCCCACCTGGGGTTCATGGTAGTTCCATGGGACATACCTATTGAGAGGAAAAAATCACCTTCCATTAGGAAACTGAGACTAAACTAGAATTCTGAATAACAGCTATTTGCACTACATACCCCAAAGATCAGTAATGCTGCACTAATCCTTTGGATCAATAAAAGACAGGAGTATCTCTAGGGCCTTTTCTCTCTGAGGTATTTCATATGGCAGAAGGCATAAAACTAGTACTGAAATTTGGGTTAGGTCTGCAGGAATCCCTATCACCACCAGAACAGGTTCTGGTAGTGCCATTTTGAAACCACGATGTCTGTTCTGAAATTTAAGTAAACAGTTTTGAAGCTGGAAAATCAGTTGCACAGTGGTGGGAGGYTGATGAGATGAATGTGGTAAACCACTCATGAAGGACGAGGCCAAGAACGYGCTTGCCCAAAACAGCACATGACCCATCATGCATGGATCTCCCAGCTTGCACAGGGAGCACCAACCAGGCTGACAGGTCCATGCTGCTGCTACAGTAAGCAAATTGAAAAACACCTAAGCCTCAAATGATATTGCATCTAGGTCCTGAAAGTTTTCAGTGATGGGGAACAATTCAAGTTTTGGAAAACCGCCACTGGAAGAACAGTCAAGTTAAGARGATGTTAAGGTGCCCAAGAGCCTTAGATAAAGTAAAACATCATTTCAACTAAGTAATAAAGCTACCAAACAAGCAGATAACCACTTGAAAGAATATCTCTCCTACTTTCAGAACTTAGGAGATCACAACCTCAGCACAGAACACCCCACAAAAAAAAAAAAATACACTTGGTTGCAAAACCAAAAAAAAAAATACACTTGGTTGCAAAACCACAAAGAAACAGTAACGTACGAACTACCATGAGTAGTGTTGTAGCTGATGGCCCATGCTTGACAACCGTGATTGTTTTGTTTGCCACAGCATTAAGCAGCAGTCAAGCACAGACAAGACAGTAAAATTAGGATAAATACAACCTGAGCAAGGATTCAAAGGAATGGGAAAACTCATTCTTCACGGATTTACTGTTTCGCACATGTGCTTGTAATTCTTTTAGGAAAACTGCTGCCACTGTTCCAGAAAGAACAAATTTGAGAAAAATTTCTAAAATTCACAAAACTGTGTCTAGTCAAGCAATGATCCTCTCAGGTGACACTTTTCTTACTGCCTGGGTTTGTTTGTATGTTACACAGTTAATTTGGTAAAAACTACCCAAGAGAGAAAATAAGAACCTAAAGCAATGTTTTCAATAAGGAATAAAAACAGGAAGCTTCCCATGAGTGCACTACTGAAATGCCCATACACAGACAGACATGCACATGAGCATAAAATACAATAATTAAAATCTTTTGACCTTTGTTAATATTATAACCTCTCAAATGTGAAAATTTTAAGCCTCTGTTTGAAAAGATAAGCTAAAAATTTGTATACCAGCATGGAGTCAAAGCAATGCACTCAAGCATCAAAATGCAGATTTTCCCCTCTATGTGGCATATTTTATTTCTGTGTCAAGCTGCTCCAATTATTTCTAAGCACGTAATTAACTCACATGTAAAAAAAACTACATGTGCATTTAATAAATACATGAAACGTGAAAACATACTCATTGAAGAGTTTTATGAACCTGTTTTTGAAATAATTCTTAAGGTTTAAATACACTTAAAAGTGTCTGAGACTCTCCAGCTTCCTTATGCTCAAGATAAAAGAATATTCTTCCGGAAACAGTTCTCATTTACGTCACATGCTTGACCACAAGGATGGAAAAAACAACCAGATTCTAGTGGACAAAAAGGGAAGAAGTTTAAGAAAAAACTGTATGTGAAACTTTTTTTTTTTTCATAATGAATCATGTTATAAATTTATTTTAAACACTGGTCTAAAAATTGTTACTAAGACACTTGAATTCCCCCATATATTTTCCACAGCTAGCAATGGCCTCAAATTAAATCATTTTACTTTGAAATTGTTGTCTTTAGTGAGTATAATTCTAACACACTATTTTAAAAACTTATAGTCAGTTGTTATTCCTGTATTGCTTTAGCTACAGAATAATGMATTTATAGAGGAAACTCACATCCTTTTTCAAACTTGAAACATGGTATTTTCTTCTGTATTTGAGTAATAGCATTTACATGCCATTTACACACAATTTCTAAGCTTCATGCTATAACCTTCCTTYGCTTTAGAAGTCACAGCTTTCCTCTCCTATTTCAGTGATTATCAACAGGCAAAAAATCACATTTTAACTTCCTTAAGGTACAAAATAATTCTCTCTGTAATACCACAGTGGGATTTTTTTTTAATAGTGTAAAATTAAATAAATTGTACTACGTTCCTAAATGAGCATGCTAGTTAAATTACACATACACGAGTCTTTAGAAACAGCAAATTGTGTTTAAATTAAAGTGTTAGATAGTTTAAACAGCAGCTCTTTCTTAGAAGGAGTTTGCACAGGTTTACAGCTTTCTGCTCCTTAGACAGCAAGTAGACTAAAACAAAGAAAATGCTCAAATTTCTTTAACTTTTTATGTACCTGTAAAAGTAACTGTGGATTCTTCCAGGAAATGTCTGCACCGATCAATATATCCTGCATATTTTCAGCCCCATCTAGTGGTTAATTGTTTATCTGGTCCGTGTAAAGCAACCCCCAAACTTCCTGTGATTTCCAGATGCCTCTGTGAGCCAGCACCCGTTTCCAGCTGGCAGACAGTTCAGGAACTGAAAATAAGCATTGTTACCTTCGTGTGACCAAACACCCCTGYGTGCTGCCTGCTGAGGAGGGGAGCRAGCCCCTCAGGATCATCCTCCACCACCTTCTGGGATGTCTCACCAACCACAAAATTCAATTTCAATCTGCTCTTCAGAGGGGTAGGCCTTGATATCTTAAGTTTTRTGAAAGATCAAGCCTYCTGTCACCTGTTTTCTCATGTTCTRTTATTGCTTAAAATGTTAYCAGGTGCAGACRGTTACATACATGCACTGATTTCACCTATTCCAGAATCTGGAATGAGCTGCTGCCTCAGTCATGAGCTGAATGATGCATCAAGACATTGTGAGCCTYTTGGAAAAAAGGCTGCAGAGAACAGGAAGGAGAACAGGTCTGGTTGGCTTTGACCACAAGGTATTTACAAGCACAATCCCATGATAAAAGGATCTTGTTTCACTTGAAGTGGTAAACCTCACTGGGAATGACTTGATAAGAACAAGGAAGGCTCCCATATTTCAAATTATAGCAGGACCACTCCCTGTCTTGCAGGAAAAATCCCAAGCAGCAAAATCACAGTCTTTGGAGGTGGCCTCAAAACCGGGAGTCCAACTACCACATTCTGCCAGAAAGTTTGGCAGTGCTGCTGCCTACCCCAGAATAACTTCACAATTTGTACCTCAGTCCCTTGCTAACAGTGCAACTGATCCAGGAAAGAGTATGCAGGAGAACACAAAACAAAATTGCAACTAAATAATCACCTAGACCAATTTTCRTTTTTTATCAAAACCACAAAAAAATCACAGCACTTTGGTTAGGGTAATATGAATACTTATAGCTTTATCTCAAATAATCAAGAGCAGTAAGGCTTGATTATTGGCAAAATTCAAAGGAAAAACAGAAGTGGTTTTTTGGTAAGCAAGGTGCTTTTTTAGCATCAAGAGTGAAAGAGAGAGAGGTTAGTGTCAAATGGAGACACATGGACTCGATTCTTGTAGAAAATGCAAGGCATGGGAGTATTTTCTGCTTCTAAATCACACTTTTAGATTTATCTTTCACCATARTAGAAAAAATCCAAAGGTGAGCAATAATGGGAGAACAAAATAAAGAATCTCAGTCTGCTCTTAGAAAAACAAAAGGAGGCTGTAAAAAAGCTGTTATGCTGGGATCCAGCAACAACACCTAAAGTCAGACAAGTGCCACAGCAACTTGCCGGCTGCACAACACCTTTTGTGCAAAAACAGACACAACTCAGCTCTCCCAAGACCAACAGAGATCATTTGGCAGCAGCAAAACAACACCAATCTTCACTCCTTCCTGCACAGCAGAAGGATGCTAATGCCTAACACTAAAGCAGAGTAAGAGATCTCAACAAGGGAAAAAAAAAACAGGAAAGAAAGAAGGAAAAAATCCACCTTGTGAGTGGGAGATCACAAAGAGGGAGAAAGCAACCAGCCCTGCAGAAATTTTGCCATTGAACAAGAGTGATGGGGGGAATGGAAAAAAAAGTGTTACTATCTCAAAAGGCCAGTGATGCAGCAGAGACATGAAAAGGCAGTTTGAGATGGAGGGGAAAAAAAAAAGGAAGGGACTGATTGAAAAAGCTGGAAATAAACAGAGGGCACTGAAAAAACATGGGTGTTGGGAGGAGGAGGAAAATTAATCAGAGACATAAGAGAGGCACGAGACATGATGGATTGTAGAAGTCATCACTGTCTGGACCCAGGTTAACCTTCAAGCCAKACACCAAAACATATAATTTTCAGGACCACTTTAAATTACTTTTATTTCATCAAAAGGTAATTACTTGGGCAAAACCAGCAACCCCGTTTCAAGCAAATGTGTTACTTAATCCCATTGCTCTTATTAATGTGAGCACACAGAACCTGATTTTTTAATAGAAAACAACAAAAACCACCACCAGTCACTGCATCATCCCAACAAAGGGAAGTCTTAAGACATGCGAAAAAAAAGAGAGAACCCTAAATTTGGGAAAATTCAATTTCTTTTCTTTCACCCTGCTGTCTGTTCTTCACATACTAACTCTAACTAATCTCATCCACAAGGCAAGCCTGCAACTTGCAGGTCTAACAATACAGATTTTCAGGGTGAGAAAGGAGAGGTTGTGTAACACTCCCACTTAAGCAAAATGCCCTAGCCTACAGGCTCTGCACTGCCAGAACTTGCACTGTCTACAGCACAAAAGCAGGTGGTTTCAAAGAGAAGTTCTAAGCCTTGCAATGATTTAAGAAAGGAAAACTTTTGTTTGGGAATTACAACTGTTGCCTGACAAGTCTGTGCCTTACACTTTTCTACCACTTTGCTTGCCAAGACAGTTATGGCAAAAATAAAAGTAAGCTGATTTTTTTTTTCAATCTATGCCTCATCTGTTGAATTAAGTACACAACCAGGTAGAAAAGACAAGACAAATGGACTAAGGATTTTGTATACACACACAAAACTGAAAGCAGTTTTACCTTTTTTCTTTTAAAGAAGTACACCTAGTTCCCCATCCATTTGTCTAAATTTAAATGCTTCTGGTGAAATAGCTTTAAATATTTTCAAGGCTTCTGGGTGATACAACCCAAGCTGCATTAACAGGTTGTCCCCTCTCACACAGTCTGCCTTTTGACCAGAGAGTACAATGTCCCTGCCAGAGGCAGAGCACATGCAACTGTTCCATAACTGCCAAAGTTCACAGTCCAGCAATTTATTCCAGGTCACATTTGCACCCTGGGTTGTGAAGCAAGAGAAAAAGRCTGCTAATTACAAGCTGCCCAACTGCCCCAGTTCACACAGTCAGGTCATCCTGTACCACCCTTCACTGCTCCAGAGCTTTCTCATCTATTACTAAAAAAAATAACCAAGTAACAATAGCAGCATTCCTCTTAATGACTTCTCATAYGGCTCCCAAGACCACAAATCACTTGGAAATTCAACAGCTACTCACGTTTGAATGGCATCAAGTCCTGCCATCTTCATCTTCAACAGGCGGTCTTTCCAGTAATATGGAGGAACCCGGGAGTAGTGAATGCTACCGGAGATGTAACGGAAAGGTTCTCCATCTTTCACAAAGCAGTTGGAATCATAATCAATCCCAAAACTCCTCTCAGAAACTTTCTGTACACAAAAACAAACAAACAAAAAAAAGACACAATACAATCTTTTTTTCTGCCTTGAAAGACATGGAGAACAGGCTATACAACATCTGTGGGTTGTCTACAGTAGAAGATACAATGCTCCTAAAATAAGAGATGRTGAATTACTTTCCTCCAGCTATCTATAGCCTATCTGAGTCTCTGCACAACAAATCAGCAAAAAGGAGTCAATGCAAAGTGTCACAGGGTGAAAGAATTTTTACCCTACAAGASTACAAACTCGCAGATATAGTTCAAAGAAAACACACTCCCCCTGAAAAACAAAGGAAGAAATCACCAAGCAAATATGTCTATCTTCAGATTGTCACTAAATAGAGCAACTGAGTGAGGTAACGCTACAATCATTTGAAGACTACAAACTCCAAGGAGGAAAACAACAACATGTCGCATCTGCAACAAAGGCATTATTTTGCAGAAAATCTAAAAAATGTTGTGGAAAAGTCCTAGATACACATAACAATTCAAAGCATTCTGCCAACAGTGAACAGGCGAAATTGTGTGGGAAATGTGTAACAACAGGTACGAGAGGATACAGCAAGGAGCTGGCAGGGAAACAGGAAAAGCAAGGGGCAGCCAAGTGCTACACAGCAGAAGCTCTCTATGCTCTGTTTCCACAAACATGGACCCATTCTTAAGATTAGCTAACAGAAAAAAATAAATCTTGACTCAACAAAGACATGGACATATAAGGCCTCTATAAAATCAGGATCTCACAGAACTCAGAAATACCAACCAACTGCTCTGGAACAAAGGTATCTCAAAGGCTGGGATACTCCATAGGGAATTATGATGCTCTAGTAACTCCAGGCTGTTAGACCTCAAACAAACTATTGTTGCAGAGAATGTGCAGGTATGTACAGCTGCTTACTTTCTGTTCAGTGCAAATGTACATCACGTTTTTCTGATCTTTCATTTATAACCTACATCTTGATTGCTGGGTATGCTGCATTAGGATGGAATTGTTCTGTGTGTACCCCTAAAGGAAACTATTGACCTTTAMAAGCATCAAGCAGATGTTTCACACACTTCAAACGTTTTTTACTCCAGGGCATGGTGACAAGTCACAGCACAAATGCAGAGCTAAGTGTTTCAAAATGATATGACTAAATGGAACTCGGAACCCAAGTGCAACAACACAGAAAAACCAAAAGTAAAGTATCATTATGGATAGTAACACCTTACATATTAAAAGGCCATTATCTCTGGAAAGAAGGAGAGGGAAAATAACTTGCTATGGTGTCCCTGTCAGAGGATTTTAGCCTCCTCATTTAGACTAACCGCATCAGGAGGCCTACRGAAAAGACACTTGATCCATTTATGGCAGAGAACTGCTGAGATGATGGATGCTGAAAAAACTGTTTACATGCCCTTAGGGATAGACAGTTCTGACAGAGAGCCAAGGCTATCTTAAAACAATTAAAAAAAGGTATTAACTATGAAATTGGTCATCATTAAACCAGTTACCATTTAGAAGTCAGGCTTTTAAAGCTGTGACCATAGCTGTAAATCACCTTCCCTACACATCCTGATAGTGTTATTATGGGGATGAGAATGTGGAGGAAGCTACCAGAGTACTTCCAGTTCACTTCATAATTCATTGTAAACATACTTCCCATCATGATCAATTCCTCAGGATTATTTTATTGTCARTAGATTACCCATAACTTGCAGACCCAGGCTTGCAATGAAACGAGAGAGCTCTTATCAATTTATGTCTGGGTCTGCTAATACTGTACACTCACTTGTGAATATGCAGGGAATTCCTTCCCACTCCATCTCCCTAGAGCATGGGGTAGTGGGTCTGCTMATTTAGCTGATTCAACACACACATTAACAGCACTGTTTGGGGTGCCAGTTCATTCATACCAAATCGAATCAGTGCCCAGCTGAAAATTCAGAYTCTACAAGCAATGGAATAATGTTGCACCTTACATTCTCAGAACAGACTCACATGGAAAAAGAAAGAGCTAAATCAAGTAAATCAAGTAAAAATTTAAAAATTTCTTAAATCAAGTAAAAATTTATTTTTGCAACCTTWATGTTATTTTAACATTTTATAATGTGCATGTCTCTCGACATAGGATTCTTTTCCCATCTTCAATATACAGAACTGTTTTTCAGTGGCAAGAACCTCTCATTCTCCAAATTTACAAACAGGGTTTTTCTTCTTATGTGGAAAGCAAACAAATGTGGGTACAAATCCTCTACCTGTGAAACTTTTCTAGCCTTTCTTACTCAAACCATTCAATCACAGAACACCTCCTTCTCTATCCCAAAGATTAAGTATCAAAATTGAGAACCACAAACCACTCCTTTTCTTCTGCTCCTTCCAAAAACTTTTCTCAGTAACCTTTTTCTTGCCTTGCAGTGGTCCTTTTCTCTGCATCACCCCTTCAAACTGCACCTTTATCTCCTAATAGCCTTTAGGCAAACATAATAATGGCCTCACCTTTCCCACTTACACCATGCCTTGCTTAACAGTGGGGGTGTAAGATTTTCCAGAACTACTCAGGTTTATTGTCGGTAGATTTTTGTTGAGTGTGTTAAAACTGTTCAGCATGAACTGCTAYAATGCATACTGGTACAAAATAAAAGGTCATTAGAGGCATCCTTCTTGCTATAAGAATAAAGTTTTATTAAATCCCAACACTTAAAGCATTTGTTATACCACAATTTACATATTTTCAAATCCATTGTATAATAATTATATMATAAATATAATTTCCACAAAGTGACAATACTATTACATTCTTCTATTAATTCTGACTATTTAACTCCTCTTCACCCCCCAATCAACTGGCCTTTTATAGGATGAAATATATATTCATTTAGCTAAATTCTCCAGATTAAATACATTATACACACGTGCACAGAATTTACAAAAAAAAATTTWAAAAAAWTACAAAATAAGCAGCACAGCAATTTTTCTTCATCTGGAATACTGAACACAGGTCTGCATTGTGCACATTCAAATCAAACTGGAAGATGTATAGAAAGAACCTTGAAGGACAGTTAAAGATTGCTGATTAGAGAGATTATAGAAACAGTTCATTCCTTTTAACAAACAGAAAGTTGATCTAGGATACTTTCCATTCATACTTAAAAAGCAAAAAAAGAAAAGGCTTTGAAGTGTTTTGGCACAGAAATAAAATATTTTAAGTAATAAGTAATCACCAAACAAACAACCTTTCAGAGGAACAGACACACAAAAAATGGGCAAGAACTAAATTACATCAGGAAAACGCAATAAATTTATGAAATGACAATATGACCATTCCTAAGAGGATGCATATCTGCTGCTGAAAGACCATGTAATTATCCTGTAAGAGAGGCACATACAAGTAATGACAAAATCCTGGGATGGAAGGACCCCTTCAGCTAGGTTTCTGCACACACTTGATCAGAATGAAGAGAGAAGTAAAAAGGGCAGGAAAAAAAAAAGTAAATAACACTAGGAATTCATTGAGAAACTGACACCATTTAAATCAGTCCCACAAATGGCACTGTTGAAGAAACTTGATTACAACTGTTAGTCTTCTCAATTTGGTAATAACACTCAGTGCATCAAGTGAAAAACAATCCTCCTGGACTACTGGCCTAGTGGGAATACTCCGCACCACTAAATGCAGAACACAGCTTTTAACTAAAGCCATATTGACAAGTAAACAGAAGGTTACAGGCTAGCAAAATTCTCTCTACATGAGACCATCTGACACTATGCCACTGACTGGGATAGTCAGTTGCCAAAAGCCCCAGAAGGATCCCACAAGGGCAGTGGGTAGTGTTGAATACACATGGAAACTTCAGGATACTTAAGCAGATATTATCACACAAGCATAAAAAAAAAAAAAAAAAGTTTACAAAATTATAGGTGGCAGGAAACAGAAATTATCTAATCTGGCAAGTAGAGAGCTTGGCTGATAAAGTGTTCAGTTTTCAGCCTAAAAGAGGACTGAAAACAAAAGGACTCTCCAACAATTCCACTGACCTTAAAAACMCATTTACAGTATTTCTCATTATTCCTGAGTAACAATGTAAGATGTTTGTACTGGAGAAAAGGATACAAAACCAGCCTAGCATTTAGAAACTGACTGGGGGAGGTCTAGAGTCAATGAAGTGAAACTTCAAAATTACACTTCCAGAAAAACTCAACWTTACAATATAGTACTTTTCAAACACACCCCCGCACATCTCCTTCAAAATGAGAACAGAAGCTGAGGAAAGAAACAAAGTGTTTATGGTTGTCTGCTTCAGGATGGCTCAGGAAGGCAGCAAAAGACTGAACACCACAGCTCTGGTCTTCCATCCTCAGTTTCCTGTGTGAGAACTGCTCTTTTATCCCATGGAACATGGGTCTGCCTGAGAGAAATCTGGGTACCACTGGGCAGAAAGGCAGAGCAAGGGAAAGCCTGTGGCTACAGCTGCAGACTACAGAGGCAGCATTCCCAGGCTCCAATTGTTTGGTATGTTTAATGCAGCAACAATGTGGTGAGGGAGGAGAGGAAGATGTGCAGTAGTAAAGTGTTTCATCAGCCTGCACAAAATTCACACATTATTTTACATCCTGGCTTTGTTATGAGAACACAAAGATACAGAAACAAGAATGTTTGTATCAATATTTTCTAATATCTCAATTTTCCCATAGTTATGTTAATTTATATTAAGACTTTCTATAAAAGACAGGAAGAAATCCTCYAGCTCTCATTATCCTGTACCAGCTACTCTGCTGTGTGTCCATCAGACAACCAGGACACTGACACACAAATGCTCTTAGGGAAGACACCTGCTGCAGAGTTTAGTCTCATTAAAAGAGGACATCATTTACTTGAGATATTARAGCCTTTAACAAATTTCAAGCATTAACCTATTTGCATTGTTTTCAAATAGCAGGTACGTCATTCTGTAAGAGAAAAATGACAGGAGAAATTATGCAGAAAGAACAAAATATAGAATGAAGACAAAAGACATTGAGTATTTCAGCTTTGGAATTAGTGCTTTATATCAGGAGGTATTGTATGCTCAGACAGCAATTAATTTTTAATTTTTTCTCATTTGTTTTTATTAGAGCTATTTTCAGTAAGTAATTTGTGCATGCCCAGCTATTCTGGGGAAAACGCCTGAGAAAGACAGCTACCTTCACCCTTTGGTGTCAGTCWTTTTAACTGGACAAAACTGAGCTTCAGAACTGATGTCTGGCAGCTTACTGTACTAGTAAGAAGCACACACTGGAAGCCCTGGTGCATGCTGCAGCCAGCAGGATAAAGATATGAAGCCTCAATTTAAAAAACCCCATAAACTATTCTTTTCCCATAACAAATCTGGCATGAGCCTTCTAGAGTTTACACACTCAGTGGGCACTCTTGCAGGCCTTTCTGCAAAATATGCTCAAGTGACCTCACTGCACAAGCTCAGAAGTTCACCTGCCTGAGATTTGATAAGGCAGCTGCCTGCTAGATAGCAAACAYCGAAACATGAAATAGCTGCAGGACACAGATATTATTTAACATGCACAGGACACACATTATCTCCATGACAYCAGTGTTATCTTCAAATGCAAAATCTCGATAATAAACTCAAAGACCTAWTTTTTTTAGTAGTTTAACATGCCCCAAATTTGTTTCATAGGCTCAAGATACAGTTAGTGTTTTCTGCTCAGACTTAACAGAACCTACTGAAGTTCAGCTCAACACATCTTCTCTGGCTTCCCTGACAAAGGATTTGCTTTTGTAGTAGAAGAGCCAATATACTGGCCAAAAAAAAAATAATTTATYAGTCTGTCAAATGGAAAACTCCTCAAGGAGAACGTAGAATTATCTCTGTTATTTCAGCTCTGCTGCCCAGCCTCATGGGTATTCCATAGTACATCGTCCCTGGGCTGACATAGACAAAGGTGTTCTGCCCAACTTTGTACAAGCCAACAAAGAACGGATTGAGAAGATAAGCTCCAGCATTCAGAGGGAAAATCTGCCCTCCRTGAGTATGGCCAGAGAGAATTAGATTAATGTCTGGACGCTCCTGAAGGGCCCACTTTGCAGCAATTGGCTGATGAGCTAAGAGCACTATTGCATGCTCACTGCTACAACCTCTGAGAGCTTTTTTCAGATCCATGCCATGTCCTGAGTAGCGCAACACATCTGCTTCAATGTCATCCACACCAGCCAGGCAGAACCAGTCAGAAGTGCTCTTTGGYGAAACAATCTTCACATTCTCGTTATGCAATGGCTGAATGTTAAATGATTTTAACAGCTCAAACCAGTTGCTAACATCTGAGGTGTAGTAYTCATGGTTTCCTGTGACAAAGTAAGTCCCCAAAGGGGAATCAAGTTCTCCAAGAGGCTCAACAGCAGGTCGTATGATCTTTGCCTCAGCRTCGGTCAGGTCCCCAACAATCACGGTGATATCTGGTTTTAGAGCTTTAACCATTCTCACTATCATGGCAAGCTTGGTCTTGCCAACTGTAGGCCCCAGGTGGATATCTGAAAGCAACACCACTTTCAGGTTATTCATTGTTGAGGGCAGCTTGTGAACTGGAATCTCCACTGAATTCACAGTAGGAGGCTGGGAAGCATTTAACAGCCCAACAACGGTCAGCACAACAGTCAGCAAGACTGCCAGAACTGGTTTCAGTGCTGTTCTGTTCTTGTTGCCAGTGCCTGCCTTAGTGCCTCTCCCAGCCAAGAACTTGTAAGCCTGCTCTACAGAGCCTAGGGTGAAGAGGAAAAAGATGAGAATAATATAGGCCCCSAGGCAAGTGTAGGCAGCTAAAGAAAAGAAATAGGGCTCTTCTGCAACAAGAAACAGCAATGTAAAGAAGCTTGAATGAGCCAAAGCWAGAAACATGAACACAGCTATTTTCCACAGCATGAAACAGATGGAGCTGGTAGCTGAAGACCTGGTGAACATGGTGACTGTGCTTCTCCAAACATGAAGAGATCCCATCAACATGAGTGTATTAGCAAACAGTGCCATTTGCAGCCTTAGAAGCCAGCGCCGTGTCCTGAAATCGAGTTTTTCCGCCAGGTAACTCCGCGATAGCATCATGGAGAAGAAAACCACTCCTGCAGCCACTGCAGCCTTTGCTTCAATGGGTAATTGCTTGAAGGAGATCATCTTTGCTTCCTGACYGTTCCCTTCTATTCAGCAGAAGTCTCCAGTAGTCAATAATGCAGTTATGAAGGGATGCCTTGGGTCAACAAAGCCTGCAACCAGGAACCAGTATGAGCCGCTTTAAAACATTACATACATTCCCTTTTTTCCCAGACTGCAATAAAGGACTGTTACTCTACATACTACACAGGATGCTGGGTCATGCAGAACCACTGTCATAAAGACACAAAGGAGATGTCGTGGAGTGAATCAGGCCACAAAAAAGATTGGATTCTGGAAGTCCCTTCCAAGCTCCCTGTCTGCCTCCCGAAATAATTTCTACCTCCCACGCCACGCTTTTTTAAAAAATGTTCTTTTCTCATTAGGACTTCCTCATGGTAGATGGCAACACATGTCAGAAGGGATACAATGAGTATTGGGAACAACCACTGTAGAATTTATAAATCCCATATGTGTTCTGGGACTAAATTGCTTCTGATACTAACTTAATACATGGTTTCTGTTCTTGCCAAGCAGTTGGCTCCACCTGAAAAGCAGGCATCACCCTACATCATTCTTACCAAATGCGAGAGGTACTACCAACATAAGCTACAGCAGCAGCAAAATCCCCTCTGGAACAGGTGCAACTGTGCTCCCAAAAACTGTAGATGATGTATCAGCAGATATCCTTGCCCGCAGTAGTGAATCAGATTTCTCCAAAGCCCTGAAAATCAGTAGGATCAGTGAAACTCATATTGTGTTTTGCTACTAGCTTCCAGCTCACTTCCACTACATGTACGGTTTCCAAGACTCAACGCCTGTTTTAGCATATCCTGGTCTAACAGGATACAACTAAGTTGAAAAGGGATTAAAACACCACCCAACTTGCTCCTTTAGAAGGGAGCACAGTCTAATGCATGTCTGCTCACAGACTGAAAACAAACAAGCAAGCACCACTTATGTTTGAACTGTACCAGAATTCCCTGGTTTGCTCTTATTTTGCTCAGTCACAGTGTTTCTACTAATGCTCAGGTTGCATATTTCTATTTAAAAAAAAATCTATTGTTTTATTTTAATTGTAGATAAAAAAAGTTCGGACCGTCTTTCATAACATACAATACAGATCATGTCTGGCGTAACAGTCCCATAATAGCATACACTTGTTTTTAAAATACTTCCTGTCCCTCAATCCACACAGAAAAAGCTAGCAATCATTACAGTCAAAAATARCTCAGAAATAGGGCATAAAAGCAGCCTTGTAGAGCTCAGCAGTAAGCCTGAGCCCAGAAGACTGCAAACCCCAGTTTGACAGGTTGCTTATCTGCTGCATGTACCTTCCCAAGCTAATTTAAAAGAATATTAGCACCTCTGTGATGACAGAACCCTGAGCTACTGTAACGACYAGACCAAATTTTAAAGACACCTTCCGTCATTGCTTGTGTCATGGGACTGTGGGTCGATAAGAGAAATTGTGCATGCCAGCTGCAGTTCCCCAAGCCCTCTCAGTTGTTACTAAACTATTCTTGAGAAATAGTGCTATTTTACACATATGCCTTTACAGAAAATACACAGAGCTAGGAAGATCAGAGCACAAGAAATGCCCTACTGATTCAATCAAGTCCATAGGTCATCTACACACTAGGCAATATTCTGCCTGGACAACAGCAATCAGAAAYGCTGTTTAAAGAAAGGACAGACCACTAAATGCTGTTAGTGGTCTGCTCCCTCATGCTCCGTCAGCTGACAAAGCTGTTACACTAGGGATGTTAGAGGGCAAAATCCTTGCATAGTCATTTCTGGACCTTTATGAACCTGATGTATTTAAATTTGGCAAATCCATTTCTTTTCCTAATCTGTTAAGTACCCTCTGCTTCTACAACCTCCCATGGCAGCAAATTCTTGAAACTACGTATTTTTACAATACTTTATCTGTTTGAAACTAACCTATTAAATCCCCCCAAAATGCTAATCGTACCAAATTTGATGAGTATTGGCTCTCTATTCCTCTTACCTGCCACCTTCAAAATTTTGGAACAACCTCACCCCTCAGAGACCATACTAACCGTGACCCAATCTTCCCTTCCATAAAAGTCTCAGATTATGTTGTTCTACTTTTCATACACCTCTATCCACCTGTGCCCCCATCCAACTGCAACATCCACCAAGGTAACAGTGACACTCTGCCTCAGACTCGAGGCATAAACCACGAGAACTGCGGAGACCGACGATTTGTCYTTAGGCTGTGGTACGGTATCCCCCGGGACAAGGCGGCTACAACAGAACCGATGCAGAACAGGAAAAACCCCTTTCCCTCCTCTCACGCAGCACAGCACAAGTCAAGTTTTCCCACGGGATCTGCCAGCAGTGCCGGTACCGGTTCCCCACCGCCCCGGCTTGCCCAGCGAGGCCTCCACGCTTCCCGGGCGTGCAGAGTCCAGGCTGGCAGCACCGCTCCGGCCACCGGGGCAGCCACCGCAGCCATCATCCCTGAGAGCGGCACCGCCACCCTCCCTCAGCACCAGCCGGGAGAGGGGCACGGAGCCCTCCCTGCTCCGGCCCCGGGATCTCCCCCTCGGCGCAGCCACAAGCCTGGCACCCGCGCCCTGCGCGCCGTCCACGAGCCCCGAATCGCTCATGGTTTAAAAAAGGACCGAGGCGAAGCGCCTTCCTCCGGCGGCGGGAGGAGGCCCCAGCCAGCCCTCCCTCGGCCACGCCAGCACCCCGCGCCCTCCAGAGCCGCCCCCCGCTGCCCCGGGTGCTCCWGGCGGAGGGGGAGGCGAGGCGGGCACTCACCGCCGCCCGGAGGAGCGCGGCCAGGGCGGCCAGCGGGAGCAGGAGCCGCAGCATGGCGGGCGGCAGCCAGGAAACGGCGGCGTCAGCTGACGGCTCCGCCGGGAAACGGCCGGCGCACAACAAGCATCCCCCCTCCTCCTCCTCCTCCTCCTTCTGCTCCCTCCCCACCGGCACCCACGGCAGCGGCGCTCCACCTCTCGGAGCCCGGCCTCCTCCTGCTCTCGCTTCCCGGGACACCCCCTGGGCGGCCCGTCCTGTGCCTGAGGCGATGCGGCTYGCTGCGCTGCTTCCCGTGTTAAAGCACTGTCACGCACTTTCAGGAGCTCACAGCAGGCTTTTGGATACAGCCGCCAGTACTGAATACATCCAGAGATTTCTCCCACACAAAAGTTTCCAGGAATGAAAGGTCTTGCTGAGCTTTACSTGCCTTGGGCAGCCCATCATCCTGACCGGATGCACTGGGCCTGGGTGCTCTCCTTGCCGTGTTAAAGCGCTCTTTTGGGAGCCCAGCGCTGAAATCAAGATACACCCTCTAATGCCGAGTACATCTCCAAAGATTGCTCYCAMAYAAAAGATGCYRCGACAGAAAGCTGGTTCTRTTCTTCARCCTCCACTGATCAGACCATCATCTGCAGCACCACACTCCGGCCCAGTTCCTCTGGACTTGCCCCATTTCCCCAGAGGAATGATARAAGACCCACCTCTGCCATCCTGGCTGGGCAGAAAGGCCTCACACACCGCCAGCCACGCCAAGGAGAGGGAAGAGGGTTCTCCCAACCCACAGGACAGCTCCAGAGGTGCGGATGGCTGTGGAACAGAAGGAAGATGGGGAGGTGGCTCTACACTCATGCAGCTAATRCATTCCATCCATGCAGCTAATTTCCACCTCATGGGCAAGGATGCTTCGGAAAGGGGATGACAAAGTGCAGGATCAAGGAGGGGATGGAGGGAAGGAAGGGAATGGAGTTACCAGAAAAACCCAACAAAACCAAAATGGAAAGAGGCATTTTTCCAATGGACCTCAATAACTAGTTCCCAGAGCAGSCTGAAATTTGCTAATTTCATATCCAGAGCTGAAGTTTTGCTGGCACTTTTYCKCCTATCAGCAGAGATGTAAAACTTGATTGTTCCTTGGTTGTTGTGCCAAAGAAAGTCACAAATCATTCCTTTGCCCACAAGACCCTCTCTTAACAAGCAACGAATCAAGGGGGGCACSTTTCCCAGTAAGTTCCCTTGGTATCTGTACCAAGAAGTAGAGGTTTTTGAGGAATCTTATGGACCTGTTTTATCAGCTGAGTTGATTTACAAGTACTTCTTAGTTGCTTAAAGACTAATTTGTTGGTGTTGTCATCCTGGCTGGGTGGCCTGTAGTAGACTTCTGCAATGGCATCTGCTTTGTTTGTTTGTCCTTTAATCCTTACCTGGAGGCTCACTTATGCCAGTGATGGTGCATCTCTGGGGCTGAGCCAAGCTCCTCTTGTTTGTTTCTCATGCTGTGTGCAGAAACATTTTGAATGCAGTTCCTTGTACCCAGTGCCTTGTGTAGCCAACTAAGGATCTCACTGATGCAGTCTCTCAAACTCTGGTTGCCATTCTTGTGCTCATCCCTGGCGAGCCTTGTTTTATCCCTTTCCMCTGCACACTTCTGCAGGCAAACACTCAGGAGCTAAAAATCAAAGTATGAACCAGCCTACAATGTGAATAAAAAGCCAGTGTTTCGCCTAAAATAGTAGTTGGACCTGAGATATGTCAAGTTTTTATATCCCTTGAGAACAGATGCAGCCAAAAGAACATTTACTCTAAAATGAATATGCCAAACCAGGCAAGCAGGCCCAGRCAGCTTCCAAKTCAATTAAGAATATWCAGMACAGGAATATGAAGACCTGACAGGAATGGGAATATTTAACACCAGCCTTTGGAGTCTGGTTTGTCTGTTCTCACTTGACAACACCTCTGTGTAAGGAGCTGCTGCTGACATGGCTCTGTACAGGAATTGCTAAATTGCTAATTGCTAAATTTGCCTTGCCAGCAAACAGGAATTGGGTTCACAGAAATATGTATATATATTTTGTGGTAGAAACTAGAAACTGTGTATCTTCAGTACCTAGACTTTAAACCTGTCCTTTTTTTTTGTGGAGAAATATTGCTACACTTAGGGTAATGTAAATAACACTCTTTTTCTTTCAAGCTCTGTGTTTGCAACCTATCCCCACAGCCAAAGCTAAGTGTTTTTCCAGCTGTTGTTAAGAGTTCACCTGGGCCAATAATTTTTTATGATGGATGTTCTAATTACTAGGTTCATTCAGAGAGTTTTCAAGCTGTTTTTTTACTTTAACTCTCCACCTTTACTTTAACTCTCCACCTTTAACTCTCCTTTCTGAAGAGAAGGAAAAATTTAATGACTGTGTACTCATGCGGGAAATAGGAATAAGAAGACTCTTTCGTTTGCTCAGTATGGAAATCCCCGGGAACCTGTGTGTTGTCTGAATAGTAAGAAAGTACCCTGGCTGAAATTGCAGTTAGAGGCATTGATCTCATGGAGTGCAAATATCCTCCTCATAGGCGACAGTGAATTGCATTCACAGCCTCTCCTAAGCAACCACTGGAGGAGTTATTGAACCTCTGAAACAGGTGCTTGGAATGAAGCAGTATAATGTCCTCCTTTTATCTAAGGAAAGGAAAACAGGTACGTTGAAGAGATTTACTGCAAACCCAGTGCAGTTTTCACTGTGAATAAAAGTAAACTTCTTGGCCAGGCTCAGAAGAGGGTAGAACCCCAAGTTTTGTTCTGTTTCTGTAGTCTTTCCAGCACCTGGTCAGCACATCAAGCTAAGTACTTCTCTGTCATTAATATGTGCAATAAATGAGAAGTTTTAAAAATCTCTCGAAATTGTGCTTCATATTAAGCACCCCGAAGTTAAAAAGAAGGTGTGAAAGAAGTGCCGGTGATTTTAATTTTCTCACTGTAAACAAAAACAAAAAACAAAAAAACAAACAAAAAAAACCCACCAAAAAAATTAAAAAAAAACCAAAACCTAAACCAAACCCAGAAAACAAACAAAAAACCTAAACAAAAACAAACAAACAAAAGGCGTTTTGCTTGTAAGTTCTCTTGATGATCATGAAAGCAATATGTGTCTAAGGAAAACAGATGCTTAGTTTTGCATCGATATGAGCTATGGGGAAATCACAAGTTATGTCACAATGCATGCTGGTATTGCAAGAACTGACTGCATTGTCTATGGTTTGCCTTTAAAGGAATTAACAGTGCATGGCATTGAGTGAGGATACAAATAAGGAACCAGTTTGGCAGAAATTTGGTAAGAGGACTGGTGTTCACTGTTCTTGCTTCTGTTCCCCCTCCCAGGGGCAAAAAAGCTGCTGTTGTCAGCAACATTCTCTTGACAAATGGCATGTGGTAGAAGAGTAATGAACTGGATGAGCAGCTGTCCTTGTTCTGGTCTGAAGGATTTATCTGCCCTGGGGACTTTTAGTGCAGTGGGGCTGTGTTAAGTGGTGAGTTAAATTATACTTATTACCTTGCTTCCAGGGAGAATTAAATAAGTCTGATTAAAGTCACTTGAATCCTGAATGTGAGGGCTCAGATTCATGAAGGAGAGACCAAAGGATGTGAAAATCCTTTGCATCAGAGGCTTTGCCCAGGGCATGCCTTTACCCAGTGCAGTTAATGTAGACCTCCAGATGCTGAATCAGCTTGGATTGTACCAAGGGCCAAACTAGCTTGTTTTAAGGAAAATTACCTTGAATGCACTGTAAGGAAGCCATTTGCAAGCTGAGAGTAACTCATTCCTGAGCCCAGAGACTACTGCTGTGCTTTCACACCTGTGCTTTCCTTAGCAGATGCCCTGGAGTTTGGCTGAGAGCTGTTCCCCCACTTCTGTTTTCCTACTGGAGGGCCCAGGTGGTGAGAGGCCAAGTGCCACACAGTGGTATCATCATACAAACCTGTGTCTGTTTCAGGAAGGATGACAACTAATTATTAGAGATATGCAGACACCTTAGGGAAGATTTTGCTGTTGAGTGTGAAGCATCCTGGGCTCCTCTCCCTTGGAAGGAGACGCCATGTTGCTGACATGAGCATGGTGCCAACTAATGGCAGAGCCCAACCCAACCTAGCCAGAATAATTTTCTCCATAACTGGAGCTGAGCCTGAACTGTGATTTAGAAATTTCCTTGAARTGTGAGTCAAATGAGCATTGGTCACAGCTGAACACCATCAATAAAGCAAAACCCTGTGGTGCTCAGACTTTCTGCAGAGAGGGGAACTTAAATCAGCATCATTTGCATGGCAGCATAGCAGAAAGAAGACATAAGATGTGCAAGTTCATACATTTATTAACCACTTCTCACTGCCTTCCTCTTCCAAATCTTTCCTGCCACACTCTTCTGGATGGTTGTCACATAAAGATATGCCACCATATGAAGTAGGGACTTCATGTGGCTGCCTGCAGTCCTGCCCTGGAAATCCCCACTTTCTGCAGCAGAAATAGCCTTGCCTTTCCTCTTGAAGGTGGCAYACTTCTGTTTTGTTCCATTTTGCTGTTGCTTGCAAAGCATCTGGTATTGCAGGGTATGACACAGACCCTGTGATCCTTGCTCCTGCAGATCTTGCTGTGCCTGTGGGTCAACCTGGAGTGGGCAGGACTAGACCTGGCCACTCACTCCTGTCCCAGCCTCCCAAGAAGACACAGGTGGCTTCACAGAGGGACAGTTCTTGTTCAAGGATATCTTTTTCCCCAGTGAAAGCTTTTTGCAGGAGCCTAGGAGCATCCTCTGATTCTCCCTGTGTTAAATGATGCACRTAAGCAGAAAAATTATATGAGACATTGTCCCTTTGCTATCAAAGAGCTTTCCCAGGAAAAAACAAAACTAAAAAAAAAAAAATTAAAAAAAAAAAGATATTGCCACCTGTGTTCAAGCCATCTAAAATATGAAAACCACAGTGCAATTAGTCTGTGACACATCTAATCAGGCTGGGGCTCTGGGATCAAACACACACCTTAATCACAAAAAGCTCAAAGGTTAATTGTAGGTGCAAAGAGCAAACATCACATGCGCAGWATGACTGCTGGGTGCCACATCCAGGCTGGCTCCCCTAGAGAAACTGTCCCAATGAGTCCCCCCACTCCTCCACTATTCATGTCTCTCTTTCCCATGAGCAGCCTCCATGGCTGGAAAGGAGACTGAAAGGAAAGGAAAGGAAACTGAATTACAGGTCACCTTCCCCCGCCACCAAACTGTCCCAGTTACAATAATTTTGTTTGCGGTTTAAGATAGGTGTGAGAGCTAGAAGAAAGTAACATTAAAAAGCCCCCTGGGGATCCACAGGTCTGCATCCTTCAGAACACACTGCAGTAACATGTTAGAAGTGGCTTCTGGGGAGAAATCAGGAGCTTGCTGACTGTCTTCTGTTAGCCACAGACAGACACAGGTGCTTTTAGTCAGCCCACAGTGAGCAGCCAGGGGGAAGTCAGAGCATGAACATGGGCCATTTCCCCATGGAAGAGGTTTGGCTCCGTCCAACTTCTGCTGTGGTGAGAGGTTTGRCTCTGCAAGGTGACCTCTCGGTTACATGACCTGCTTTTGAAAGGGTCTGAAGGGAAGGTCTRTGCTACTTGAAGATCCCCCATAGCTCTCATCCACCTTGCGTTGTCACTGGGCTTCATTCCCAGGCACTGTCACAGACAGGCTGGTGCAGGACATGTTAAATACTTAGGTACATCTGTCCTCCATCAAGCCCACCAGGCTCAGGTACCTTTTGTGATGGGAGGCTGACTAGAAAAGCAATCTGCAGAAAAAAAGAACCCAATATTTTCTTGTTTACTGGGGCATAATGGTCAGCTTTGCAGGCCAACAGCAATGAGCACTCTGCCTAAACTCACAGATAAGAAAGAGAAGTTGCAGGCAGAGATTAATCACTTGCTGTACAGGATGCAAATATTTRAGACTGCAAACTACTACTAAAGCCAGGTACTTTTCCTTCTTAGTTGCTAGATAATTTAAGAGATGCATTTCATTTTTTTCTCATTAATGTTTTGGAAGATACAATGCTTTTTTACATGTTCACACTGSGGAGTCTACAGCTTCTTAAAAATGAGCTTGCAGTGTGACTGTAGTACATCAAAAGACTTAATCAGCCTAGTACTACAGAGAAGCTGAAGACCTAATGTAGGCTAAATGTAAATTTGTAAAATGGAAATAGCTGAATAATTCAAATCAGCGACACCAATTTCTGTGTGGTTTTTTTGTCTTCCGGCCAGAGGTTTTTCGAAGAGTTGAGGTTTTTATTAAACGTAGAAGAAGAAGTATGAGGAAAAGAGTCCAGTCCTGCTTCAGAGTTGTTTCAAATCAGTTGTTTTCCCTCATTCTTTCCTCTCCTGGCTACAGAGCTTCCTTCAGGACTGAGGAGCGATCTGGCTGAAGATGGCAGCTGCAAGTGTAGTGAGTATACAGCTATGTCACTGTTCATCTCCTTTTCCTTCCCTCACTCTTTGCCTCTATCAGTTTTCTGCCTCTTTTGAGCCCCTGGTACCATCCCAACATAGCAGCAACATAGACTTTTTCTCCACCTCTTTCCAAGTTGGGCATTTTGAGTTTTGTTATGTATTTGAAGTCAAGCAAGCCATTTGTTGAGTGATCTGACAGAGATAATGCTTTCACCAGCCCTTTTAATAACTGAAGTTGGCTGGACGTAGTGAAACTGAACTTTTGTAAAGAGTTTCTTACTCAATGGGTCATTTTTGTAAGTCTKTGCTGTGCTGCACACTTCAAGCAACCTGAAGCACAGTGTTGCACTTTCTTATTGAAATGGAATATTTTAGGCATCTTCAACTGCATCTGATGGAGAGGGGCAAATRTATTCTTTACTGGCCTTCTCCACACAAATTTACTAGATGTCCTATTGCAGGTCACACATCCTGGAAAGAGTAGCCTGCATTACTACAGGAATGATAGTATGATGCTGTCCCTGAGTGAAAATGCAGTGAACAGCACAGATTTCATGTGCAACAAGGGGCAGGCCAGGCAGTTTGCTCAAGCCTTCCTGCCAGTGTTTTTCTGGCTCATCTTYGCTGTGGGCACAGTGGGGAACGCCTTGGTTGTGCTCGTCTATTGCAAATACCACTTCAGGAGGAGTCTGGTGGATCGGTACCTGCTGCACCTGGCCATTGCTGACCTCCTGCTCCTATTCACCTTGCCCTTCTGGGCCAAGGCTGCTTCTGATGGATGGGTCTTCAAGGACTTCATGTGCAAAGTCGTCAACAGCTTGTATAAGATCAACTTCTATGGCTGCAGCTTGCTTCTAACCTGCATCAGCTTTGAGAGGTACATCACTATTGTCCAAGCAATGAAAGCGAAAACTTGTAAGCGAAGGTGGCTCCTGCGCAGCAGGCTCATGTGCCTGKCTGTCTGGCTGATATCCGTGAGCCTGTGCATCCCAGAAATCATTTACAGCCAGAGCACACAGGTGGGGGACGTAGCAGTTTGCAAAATTACGTACCCGCCAAACGTCAGTGTGAGCTTCAGAGTTACGGTCCTGGCCTTGAAAGTCATCATAGGATTCTTCCTCCCGCTCCTTGTCATGGTTATTTGTTATGCCTTTATCATCAACACCCTCCTACAAGCTAGAAGATCCCAGAAGCAGAAGTCGCTGAGGATCRTCATCATGATCATCACTGCTTTCCTCCTGTCTCAGTTCCCATACAATATTGTTTTGCTGGTGAAAGTCATCAACACYTACACTGAGGTGGTGCACAGTTGTCAGGCTGCCAGCCAGCTGGACATTGGGCTGCAGGTCACCCAGAGCATTGCCTTYCTMCACAGCTGCCTCAACCCYTTCCTCTACGTCTTTGCTGGTGAGCGGTTCAGGATGGCTCTGTGCAGGATGATACAAAGCTGTGGCTGCTGCTGGAGCAGGGGCCAGGAGCACTCCTCTGCCTGTGACAGCCAGGAGCACAGCTCAAACTGGTCCTTTGCCAGGCTGGGGAGGCGGMGGGTGAGGAACTCCCTGATTCTCAACACTCACTTGACCTCCTCTGTCATGTCCCCTCCTTGCAAAGTCATCTTGTAAGTTAGTCCTCACCCTTTCCTCTCCAGAGAAGTACRAAACTCTTTGGAAACCACCTGTGTACTCCAAAGATTATCCCAGAGAAGCGGGATGGGTTGGGGGCCTGTCCTTTTTGTGCAGGACCCAACTGTGGGTTGATGGCTTGGAGGACAGAAAACCTTTGGTGGAGGGCAGCAAAATGGAACSATACTTGCTATAAACAGAACTGATAGAAGCCCAAAGCCATCTCTGTAAACAGCTGGTCCGTCTGCAGCTCAGACCACAACCCAAAATAACAAGTCTCACAGGGAAGTGACAATCCCAGCTATGGCGGCAACAGAGGCAGATGAGGCAGGAGAGGCAGATGAAGCAATGCTGTCCATTGGCAGCAGCAGGAGGGGGTTCAGCCCTTGTTTGCTGTCAAACCTGATACCAGGCTCCCCTGTTGAAGTGACCTGACTCGAGAGCCCTGCCAGATTCCTACACCAGGAAGGAGAACAGCCTTTAGTTCCAACATTGGTTTGTTGCTGTGAAAATATGCTGTTCTATGTGCCTGGGCAAATGCATAGGCATCTCTCTCTGCAAAGAAAAGCCAATTGTTTGTGTACWTGAAGTGGTCATTGCAGAATATAAGCTGTCTTTCTCCTGTATTTTMGCTTTGTGATATTAGGTGCAATGGCTCCTATTTTGATACTGGAAACAAATCACCCCTCACAATAAAAAGTTAAGTTCTTCAGAGACATTGAGTTGTCTGTCCCAAGKATATTTGCTGTATGGTGCAAAGCTGTCATAAACCAGAACACAAAACCCAAATGCTTCGTGCAACTGACCACTAGTTATGCACTGATATCTTTGGAAAATATAATGAACCTAGTGCCAGTAAGACAGAGAGTAATAAAGCATCAAAGCCAATGAAATTTGGGCTGAGACATCAGATTGGCAGAGGCTGCAGTTCCCAACAGGGGTGTGCTGTAATGCACCCCACAGCCTGACTCCACAGGGCATCATTTATCTGTTCCCCCTCACAGGGCCATGGCATTGCCCACCTGCCAGCAGCCTGCACTTCCTGGTCTTCAATTGCAGGTTGTAGTGCTCAGGAGGCTTTGTTTTGAATAATCTCATTTAACCTGGTTTGCTTTCTGCTAATGAGCTCTTTCAGGGAAAAAGGGGTTTCATTGTGAGTTTATCATTAAAACGTGTTGATAAGCAAGAGCTTTCTGCAAAGTTTGGTGGTGCTTTTCTAGCAGCACCCCTGGGCAGATGGAGTTGAAATTTCACATACATTTATTAGGATTTTTTTTTTACCTTTTCCTCAGGAATATAAATTGTCAAAGATGTACGTATTTTTTTCTGTATGTGGAAGAAGGGTTTGTGAGGTTTTTGCGATTTGTGCTCAGCAAACAGAAGCTGAAATTCTGTTAAATAAACTGCCACGTACACCAAGGAGATGAACTGGTTGTTAAATAAACTGCCACTAACACATACACCAAGGAGATGAATGGGTTGTTTCTTGCCCACACACCCTTCCCATTTTGGATCCCTATACATAACCTATTTGCAATCACAGCATTTATCCCTCTCAAAAGAGGCCAAAAGAAAACTTTGCTAAGAGGGTTTATTYCACATATCTAACCCTTGGGTTTGGAAGCCACAGCTGAGAACCCTGCAGGCACCAGAGCAGGTTTGGGCACCTGAGGTGAGGGGTGGCAGGGCACATTTCTCAGGGCAGGGGAGAAAGGAACACACTGGGGGCAGATGCTTCCCCACAGCAGCTCAGCTGCACTACCCCTTCCTGAGACTGGGGGTGACAGTGCTCCTACACAGAGGGTTCTCCTGGCCCCCAAAGAACCCTTGAGTTGTGCAAACAAATAAGTGTGCAAACCTTAGCTSCTGCAAGCTCCTCTTCCCTGCCAGCATCTCACCAGCTCCAGGAATTTGAACTTCGTGGCCATCTCACAGAAAGTAAAGCTTCTTCAGTCCTCAAAACACAGTGGGAAATATTCATGCTCAATCAGCAGGTGAAACTGCTGAGGGTGGTGAAACGGCAATGAACTTGCAGCAGTTTGGGTGACAAAGTTGTTGTCCCTGGGTCATGCACATCCTGCTGTGAGTCAGGCTGCTCCCATCACTGCYGAGGGGAGCTGGGGGCTCAGCCTCCCTGGGGGCAATTTTCTCTCTTGGGGTTTGTTCCACCACAGCTGCYTGTGGTCCAGCAGCTGCTGGTGACTCCCCAGGCTGCTCTCACCACAAACTYGGGGGGAAGCTGCCTCTCTGTGCCMCTCTGGYTGCAGCCTCATCACCAACCCTTGTTGTTGGTCAGCACACAGCAAGGACTCAGTCACGGTGATGTTTTCTGCCATTACTCCCTTTTCCATCTCCTGGGGGCCTCTGTCTTCCAGCAGCACAGCTCCTTGTGGTCAAGCTCTTCTTGGGCTCCTCTGTCCCWCTGCCCTGATGTTTTACTTTGATTTATCCTACCACAATCCCTTTTGTGTCTCACTAGGTGTCCCCAGCCTTCACCTAATGCTCTCTCCCAGGACTGGAGGTTTTCTCACTGGCAAAGAGTATTGTGTCCCCTGCCCCGTGGTCCCTCACATATCCCATGGGACTCTGCTCATGCCTTACCCACAGCTCTAGCAGGATGGTCACGGAGCAGTTGCTGGAAGTCCTGGGAGAGGCCTGAGATCTTCCATAGCTTTGCACYCCACCCCTCTTTTTAAGGCCATTTTTTCCTATATGTTCCCAGTTTTGGGCTGTCACTCTTCTTTGAAGGGGCAGCTGGACTTGCCTCTGTTCCAAGTGCTGCATTGTCTCCACAGTGCAGGCAGTCACGTAGCACAGCATCAGCCTGCTTGTGGTACAAGAGGGGGAAGCTGCGAGAGCCCATGAGAAACTTTCACTCTCTGCAGGCAAACCTGCCTRCCTGGTGCCTGCTCCTGCCTGAAACAGAGACATCTTTATGGAAGTGCCTTTTTCAGAGAGCAGGAAAGTGACAGAAGGGTGTGAGAGTACAGGAATTATTATTATATTTGGACTTCAAAGCATCCCTGTGACACTTCAAGGACTAATGCAGAGGATACCACTCTCTTGTGGCAGCTTCACAWGGTCCCCCCACAAAATATTACCCTGTGTGTGCCAAGGCCTGTTCTTGGGGCACAAACTGAGAAATATAAGGCAGAAATAGGGTTGGGAGAGCCTTTCCCCTAGCCCCAAGGGAGGAGGTATGACCCAGTATGGATAAAAATGTATTATTGGAGATGCACAGAAAGACTTCCAATGGCTCCAGCCTCTCCTGCAGAGCTGAGGTACAGCAAGGTATGGTCACTTATGTATTGGGTATACATAGAACTCACTCTCTGCAGGTTCCTTGAACTGCTGATTAGGCTTTGCTGGAGACTTTCCTTTCTAGGAGAAACTTCTGATTGTGGAGCCACAACTCCAGATTCCTCTGGAGGTGCTCTGAAATTTCTGTTAGTAATTGTAGCTTGGAAATGAGGGGATGGCACAATATGAAGATAAACTTGAATTTCATAAAACCCCAAGCACATCATGCAATCATCTTCCACACAAAGGCAAAAAAGGGACACACATTCGCAATGATAAAGAATTTTATTTTTAAATTCCTGAGGTTAAAAAAGGAAAAAAAGAGCATCAAGAAACATTCCAACACACAACCGTTTACATCTCTGTAACTGTACAGACACTGGTATACATGATTTTTCCGGTATCTGGAGCAGGAATTTTGATGTGAACAGGCTTTACAATTCTTTGGGAGTTAAGACCAATTGATACTTCTGAACAAGTTACAACCTCAGTGAYTGAGCATAATTAAAACTGTAGTGCAATTTCAATTTTAGGAAGGGAGAAAAGTCAGTCTTTTGTAGCTTTCCTATTTTGTAACATGGTACACTCTTGTGCAATACACCTTTCATTTTTTGAAAAGAAACATGGAGTAATGTTGAGTAAAGGGACACTATCATTTTCTTGAAGAAACTATGTTCTTTCCTTCGCATAAACCTTTCCACAACAAAAAATCTTACCCTCCATGTCTCCTTATCCTTTCCAGCACCCAGTAAAAATATCTGATTGCTTGTGCTGACCACAGTGTATAATCTCTTTGACCTATGAATGTGACATCTCCTTCAATTAATTTCATGATCAATTTTAAATATTTCTTTTCTCTTAATTGCRTTTCTGCAGAGAATAAAAAACCCAATTCAATAATACACCTGAGCAACTAATAACAAATAGATTTTTTAGCATTGCTGGCATAGCTCAGATGAACAAGCATTTTACGGATGGAGGATTGAGGTGTTTGAATGAAATAATCTCTTGCACAAACCCACATTTGTGCAGTCCTTTATTGGGTTTCCACGGCTCCAGTAATAAATTGTCTGGGACATTCAAATAAAAGGTCTGTACTAATGTCAGGTTCTTTACTTGCACAGCCTCTTCCAGCTGTTGTGACGGGATTTCTGTTCTTGAGCAGCTTTTTTGAACAGCTGCACTCCTGTCAACTTCTACCTTACGAGCCTGATATTTCGTAATTTGAAACTTTTTCTCCTTAAGTACTGTCCTTGGMCAGAAGCAAACATTTTCTTTTAATCTTTACACTACAGGTTCTGACTCCCATTCTTAATCCTCTTTGAGGCAGGTTTACAAAAGCCATAAAATTACTCTCAATAGGCAGGAAAACCTGAAGAAAAGGGACCATAAGAACTCAATTACTAAATAAAAACAATCCAGTGGATTTACTCCCCATCTCCTAAACAAAGGCTTCAGCCAGTCTCAGGACTGTCTGCATGAGCAACCTCCAGGGAAACATCTGGCTTACTACATGGAGACAATTATTTAAAAAGCCACATGAACAGGGGCTTAAAAATATTTGCCACAGGATGGAAAAATGTCAAGAACTGGATGTGGAGAGCAAATCAGGAGGCAAGGCTGTCAAATAATTTTGAACAGAGAGACTTTAAATACTTTTGAACAGTGATGTCATATTTTGGCCAAAGATACCTGACAGTGTGCCTTTACCTTACATTTGGCATTTAAAGAAAGAAATCCCAGTAAGATTAGTATTCTAAAATTCTAAAAGCAAAATGCTTTAAAAAACCACACCTAAAAGCTTAAAAGAAAACTGCAGCAGACTTCAGTAACAGCTCAGTGAAATTGCATAGCATATGGTACACAGTACTCCATTTTTAAGCAATAAATAATCTCTTYTTGCTTAATTAAATATAAAACATAGCTTCAAGACTGAAATAGGCTGTAATTCATGAACCGATCCCTGCACCATTTATTGCTCTTTATTGCCCACATCAGTCCCTCGTCCATCTCCTTTTCATGCACACAGACAGGTGAGGGCCTGACTGCACTGCAGCCCTTGGGAGCTGCCACCTTCCACTGACCTCGCTGCTGGCAGTGGGCTGGGAGCACATCACCACCATGGGGAAGAAGGCAGYTGAAGGGGAGGGAATGCTATCAATGAGACCTAAGTCCCAGGTGCTCCACGAAGAGTAGTCATTCTTTCACAATCTTTTTCAAGATGACTGTATTTATATATTGTTAACAACTGGAACAAATGATGAATGACCTTTAGCTTTATTTGCAATTCTTTTCTATTATCAGAAATTTCCCTTTGTCTCAGCTGCTACTATATAAATATCCAACACTTGTTTTGTGATCTCCACCTTTCAAACAACAGTCTCTTGATGTGGGAGATCTCTTATGGGTATTGGATTGGATCAGCAATATATAAACACCACCTGGTCTCTTCTGATCACCTTCCCTGGTTGAGCTTATTCTGAATTCTATGTAGAAAGCAGATGTTTCACATCATAGAAATTCTGTATAAATGAAAACCCAGCCTTCCCTCAAAAGGCAGTGTTAACAGCCCCCAAATCTGAGATGGAGAGTTMGTTTGATAGGGCAACTGCAAAGGTTAGGAAAGGGACAGAATACAATAACACCACTGGATAGAGAGCTCACCAGGCCTGGATATGCATTCCATTTTGGATGGACGTTTTGAGACTGGTTCAAACACTACTGCTGCCTTCCATGTGGTCTAGAGAGAGAGACACTGATCTCCTCAGAAACTGTGCTTTCCTGTGAATGCTGATGACTAAGGTGCTAAGGCAGGAAAAAGGAATGCTCCTCTTCCCAAAATCACCGAGTGAGCAGTACTTTATTCCACAGGGAATAAACACTCTGTGTTCTGCCACTGGTGCTCACCATAAGAGCTGGGTTCCATGGGCCAATGTACAGAGTGCAGTGAGCCAAAGTGAAAGTTGTAGCTGCTTSGTGTTTATTGTTTTGTAACTGGTATTCAGTGCCAAAGCATTTGTAGAAGTCAGTTAAGACTTACCAAATCTTAGCCCAAAATGTATAAAACTCCTATGGTTTGTGGCTTATAAAATTTGGAAAAGATAAAAAATTCTAGATGGAGTACAATATTTGCCTGTGAAGATTGAAGTATTGCATAAATGCTGCTCTGACTGTAAAAGCAGTACAGCAGAACAGAGATGGTTATGTTTACAGCTCAGTGAAGAGGTCAAAAATAGGCATTTTTCTTTAAATTTCCTTTTAAAGGATATTTTTGGAAGAAAAATAGCTTGATTTTCAGCAGAGAATTTGAGTTTGCATTTAGATACCTCCACACTTATTTTTCTTCCCACTGAAAACAAATTGGTTATTATTGACCTGTTAAACCAAACAAGATGRCTTTTCAGCAATCTGTACACAGTACAGAACCATTAGTGTTCCTGAAAAGGCTTCTGTTTTTTTAGTGTACACATCTCCTCTTAAGTGCACTARAACTATTGCATAGTTTCAAAGTCTTCAAACACAGTGGTAATCAGAATGCTTACATGTACATAAATAATAGCATATCTTAAAAATTTAATTTAAAATACACAGTATAGTAAAGGCTATGGAAAATCACTTCCATCATAGATGACAGGTCGCTCAACAGCCAAGTGATAAAACACTCGTTTTGAGAYAAACCTGTCAAAGAAAGAAAGAGAGCAAAAAGATCACATTAGCTGAAGCCAACAAGAGAGAAAGCCTTAAGAGTGTGTACAGCCTTTCAGTTTATACTTGGACAAAAAATTCACTGTTATCAAAAAGAAGCATCCCTGTGCAAGGGCCCGTCAGGTTTGTTGTTAATAAGATGACAATCCTGACTAAACTGTCTTGGAATGAGAACTAAAACTCAGTCTGGAAGACCTCTTGGCAAGCGAGGAAACATTTCTTGTACTTACTTTTGAATGGCAGAATAATGGTACATCTGATCAGTTCCACAGTCTGTAAAACCAAGCTTATTTCAYCTTTTACACCTGGCTGGGACCTACCTAGAGAATGTGTTGTCAAATATCAGTGTGTAGATTCCACAGTTTCTGACTTTCACCTGTCCTCTGATAGTTTCCTTATGAGAGTTGCAGCGAGTCATAGGGATAAGAACCTGGAATTCAATACAAATCAAAATGAAGTTTGCTATTTGCCCTATAAATTGACATWTTCTTTCAGAAAACCTTGATTTCAGGCACCTTGAAACTCCCAAAGTGCACATATGCCTGCAAAACTAATTACTTTAACTGATTAGCATTAAAAACTCACCCAGATGAAAATCTCTCAGTGAGACATCTGTTTTCCTTTGGTTATCTCTTTACAGCACTAACCAATGGCTATTCATCTCTGCTTTAGAGATAAAATCAAATCCTGAACTTTTAAATGTTTATCTAAGCAATTTTAGTAACATGGGCAAGTGCTACATTAAATCCACAAATACAAGAGCAAGATCTAGCTAAATATATCTTTTAATATATGCTTTTGTATTCCCTGTGTTAAAAAATAAGCTTTCTCAGCAAATCTTAATTGTTTATCTGAGCTTACAGCAAAAGTGTGTGTATTTGTGGTTCTGTGGGTGTCTTGCTGTAAAGCCTTAGCACAGCTGTCAGAAGAGCAGCTGACATAGACCAAGGATGACCCCATAAAACACCAAGTTTTACCAAAGAAATGTATCAGGACAAAAGCAGCATTCACACTTCATTCAGCTTTCAGATTAAGAAAAAGATTTATTTTACATGGAGTTAGTAACTGTGCATGAATCAACACATACTATGTAAATGTCTTATTTCCCTAGTAAATCACAGCCATAGAGTTCACCCTACCATGGTGGATTAAACCAACAGCTGCCTAATTTAGCAAGTAGTTGAGTAAAATAGATTCACTTAATCCATAATCCTCATGAAATATGGACAGTGTGTATATAAGCAGRTACCTTGGGCACTGGCAAAACTATTTTGCACTCCACCAAGACACTTGAGTATATGCTTCATTGTAAGGAATGTAGGTAGGTAAACCAAGCAATTTATCTGTTTCCCTGTGGCTTCTGCACAAGATCCTGTCAAAATCAGCCTTAAAGAGTTTACAAACTAAGTGAAATCAAGAAAAAAAATTGCAGACTTGAACTTTYATTTTTGCTTAATGATAGTGGGTGAGTTTCAAACGCAACCAATAGAAGCTACAGTGCTTTTCAACTYGACTTTTGCAGGCAACATTAAATAATAAAAACGTAGCTTTGTCTTTAGCAGAACTGCAGCTTAACTGAAGAAACAAATCCTTAATGCAATAACAACTGGCATTTTGGTGAAGACCTCCTAGCAATACTTATCAATTCCTGTATCATTCCGGGATGAATGCAGAGCACAACCTCTAAGGTAGTGAGGAAATAAAGGCCTTACTTTGCACTGATCCAGAGGCGTGTCTTCGGATTCTTGGTAGACMACGCTGAAGGAGATGCTTTTGGGTTCTGATGAGAAGATCCAGCTAATTGTTAGTCCCATCTCTGTAACAGTGATGGGAATGATACTGTAGGTGCTGGATTTAATGAACAGCTCTCTGTTACTTTCTCCAAAATTCATGATYTCTTCCACTGTAAGGGGTAATTTAATCCTGTAAGGGAGAAAAACACAATTGTTACTCAGACAAAACCACTAATAATTGGGGTTTTTTTTCATTTTCCATCTATTTCAGGTAGACTCCACAACATATTTGGGACAGGTCCACAAGATGCATGAAAATTCAGCCTTAAATGAAGGTAAAAACTACAAAAAAGCTGACTGATACTAAGAACCTTCACTGCTCTGGCAAATATGAATTTTGTTCACTTATTTATTCCATTTCAACTAAAGAAAAACAGTGCCGGAATAAAGCTTTTTAGAGTCACTACACTAAAAAGAGGAGTGCTGACCTCAACTGTTCTTTTTAAATAAAAAAAATTACCTACTTAATTCACCTTTCTAGGTGAATATAAAAATTTGCAGAGGAAATAACAGGGATCAGGAGTGCAGAGGGGACAGGTGGATGGAAAGTGAATAGCAGCTGTGTCTAGATCTTCCAAAGCACTTAATGCTACATCTTGGCCTGTTTTACCCAACCAAGCTGAAAGAAAAGCTGACTCAAAACACTTCCAGTTACAAAGGAAGTTCTTAGCATCCAGATGATGCTGAGTCCTACAGAATTATATGAGTTGACTTCATTCTGGTGTCTATTTCAKACTGCAAACAGTGAGGCCTTTAAGCAGGAGAATGCTGGTTACTTTGTTCAGGGGAAACCTGGAATTTCTGAGAGATATGGATCTCACCTACACCACCCTTACTAAAACAAATCTAATCTGTCACTCTTTAGGCCAAAYAAATTGTTTGCAAATCAATGAGATCAGAGCAAACCACAGTCCTGTGGTGTCTCAGGTGACCTTTGATTTTAATAAACCAACCATATTTCTTGGTTTTGCCTTACAGTCCAGCTATGATTTTAGTTACTACTTCATTTACCTGAATCACTGAACAGTGACAACAAGATTGAAACATGAACTAATTTATCTCCTTGCAGTCAAAAGATTAAAACCTTTCCCATAACTAAGGCAAAATTTCAAAGCTAGACTTAAGGAGACAGTGAGCAAAGGTGTATTTCTGTAAGCCACATGCATTTTCATAGATTAGATTCCCTTCTTGGCTGTGCAAGTGACATGCTTTATCAATAACTGCATGTAACTTATTTTCAGAGCAGGACAGATGCAGAGAATTGTGCACACACAGGACACACAGAGCTTGAGCTGAGGCTGAGATGAACATTTTATGCTAAGGCATGTATCAACCAGAGCAGGGAAGACAGATTCTGGGAAGCCACCAGTAAACAACAGACACATGCTCCAAAAGGCCATGAATTGCATCCCTGTGGAAAATGTCCAACTAGAGCTGCATTCCCTGAGTAGCCCTAGCAGTTTCTTTCAGAGATTGCCAGAACTGCATAACCTTCTCACTGAACCCCCATTCCTGTTGACAGCAACTCCTGCAATAAAAATAGGAAATGTTTTCTCATGTGATGTAGACCTACATCTTTTCTTCTTGTTCCCCAGTGGCACTGAAGTGTTCTAGGACTGAAGAGAGAGGACCTGGCTCAGTGCYGCTGCTCTGTGTGGCTGAGTTACACCCTCTCATCCTCCTCAGAACACCTTCTTTCTGTGGGACAGAAGTGATCAGCTCTACCAGGAGCTGCAAGTCTTGTGCTCACAYAGCTGATGTCTGAGCTCAGCCTTTATGCTTTCATCTGTAGCAATGAAAATGTTTTGCTTACATGATTTCTCCTGACTTCAACAAGCATATCTCAGCATCTTGAGCAACTTGCCACTCTTCRGATTCATCAAAGGTTGAAGAATTACACGTGCTGTTTCTAGAGCAAGAAAAAGAAGGAAAATCATGATTCTCTGAATACTATATGRYCKAATACCATCTGCATSCTGACACCTTCCTAAAATAGAAACRTTTTGATAGCCCTGATACCAAATTTTAGGATTCACATTCTAGTGACAACACTGGGCAAAGCTGCAGCCCCATTCTGCTCACCACTCTGCATGAACATAAAACTGTTCCTATCCTGGTTTCTTCAGCTAAGAGGAATACATATATACATCCAGAACATCTCTTCTGCAATCATAAAATAAATTGCTTATTGAGATGCAGACAGGTTTTAAAGATTCTCTGGCAAGTGGGAACTAGATGGAGGGCAGACACAAGCAAAATAGTCTGTACTTGTCCCTTAAACAAACCTTGCAAAAGGATAAGACATCTCCCTGGATTTGATCTGTGAGGTGTTTTAGAGATATTATGCAGTTCCTTACTCTGACAATTGTACAAAAACATATTTTGTCACTGTGGAATTGCTACCATGTGTCTTCATACAAGAAATCCTGTATGATTCTAACACRCATACACCAAAGATGCTGTTACAAGATGACAAAGCAGGATGTTTCCTCCACACCATGACCTGTCCCAGGCAGCAGTGAAGCAGAAGGAAGAACCTGCTATCCACTCCTTACCTCAAAAAAAGTGTATGCTCTGGATGAACTCTGGAGTGACACCAGCTATGAATTACAGGTCTGGACACAGAGAGAAGGATGAGTTTGAGAGTCAGGAAACAAATACTGATAGCTTCCAAACAAGTTAGAGCTTCTCTTTTTATGGTTCTTGTTTTGCTCCTCTGTATTTCAGCAGGTTGGTAACTGAGACAATTAAGCTACCATTCCCAGAAAAAATGCCAAGGATTCTTATTCACAGGGAACCAATTAATTGGTTCCTTCCAAAAAGCAGTGGAATCTAATAAAATATAATACCACAAGTGCTTCTGAACCATCAAGTGCAATAATACCCCAAGAGGCATCCACTTGCTGTAGACAAATTCTCAAAAGCAATGCAGGGWTTAGCATTTTCTTTTAAGCCCAATGGAACGTTGCTCTACAAGCAGCACTGTAGAGTAGAAGAGCTAGAGAMAGTATCTCCCTCAGGTKGTCATGAGCAGGATCTRAATACACTRYRTGAGCACATGCAATCACATTGAATTTGAGTGTAGTGACACTGCTGGTTGGAAACAGGAAGCACTCGCTGCTGTAAGTGCAAATCAAAGTGCACACACATTTCCTCAGCTGTTATCTGCAGAATTCATGTTCTGATATTCCTGTTCTCTTATTCCTGCAGCCTCCTGGGTAACTCTTGACTTCTTCAGAGTCATGCCACTACTGTTAATATCCTAAATAGACASTTGGGATGTGCATGGGAGACTCAAAGCTGCAATTAAGAGCCAAAACCTGAGCTGTAACCAGACACTAGGAACACAAGAATGAAGTATTTAGTACAGGTTGGCCCATAAAGGTTAGTACAACATCTATGCAAATACTTACCAAAACAAATAATTTCATTGTTAACTATCTTTATACAACTAGGTAAAAGAAAAATATTGTGAAAAAAAACCAAACTGGAAAATGAAACTAGAGCTTGCAAACCTATACATATATATTTTCTTGCACAGTGGGAACAGCAACAGACTTTTGGTTGTGATTCACATCAGTCTCCCATCCCACCAGGTTAGCTACACAGCTTTAATTTCACAGCCTTGAATTCATGCAGACCAAGAGAACTACACAACTACATGCTTCCCACAAGTGTCAGACTGTGATTTACTACACAATGTCATTAGAGTTCTGTATTTAATCCATTAATTTCACCTTTAATTTGGAACCTTGAAATATAAATTAAATCCCAGYATCAATATATATTCCATGTTCTCATCGAAGCCGTGATTTTCCTTATTCCTGCTGCTGCAACCCAGTACATGGTTAGGTGGTTAGCTTGCTACTTGGCTGCTCCAACCAATACAATCACCACATGTCTAARGTGAAGGCAATGCTAAGTCTCCTACTTTATGTAGTAAACCAAAGTGCCTTATAATCAGAAAGAAAATCCTCCTTTACTTTAAGATATCTCACTGAGTCTAACACTCTAAACTGAGATCTGGTAGCCCACAATATAAGAAAGAGTCTCATGATTTAACTGGAGCATTTTTCCCATGACAGGAGAATTTATTCTTGCATGACCTATTTGTTCTTTGTGTCAGCATTAATGACATTCCTGCAGCTTGCCAGGTCCCCAGATTATGAATATGCACCCTCTGGTGTGTCTATTTAAGCAGCCTGGATTGTTTTCCTTCTTTTTCTTTTTAAAAGTGAAATGAAGTGGGGCTAAAGAGCAGGAAGAACTGAAGCATGGAAAAGACACTCCAGCAATAAGAGAACAGCTCTGATTCAGCAAATCCTCAAGACACAGATTGCTGGAAGCTGATAGAGCATTCTGAAGAATTATTACTTCATGCTTGTCCTGCTCCTGTGCACCACCTCAGGTAACTGCTTTTGATCACTGTCYGTCAGGTGGATGGTCTAGTCCAGTGTGCCTGCTCTTATACATGGAAAGCATTTCTCACAAATTATACTAAAAATACTGTGGCCAGCATAAATGGCATTGGGAGTTAGAAGTAACCTGTTCCTTTCAGAATTAAAACCTGAAGAAATCTGCTTGAGCTCTGGACTCAGCAATTTTCCATTTGCATAAACACCTGAGCTCTGACAGCTGTAGCTACATGTCTGAGGTGTCGGCTTCATGTGGGTGAGCAGTGAAATCCCAGAAGCCATCTGCCTGTGTCAGCAGTGCAATGATTTCTGCAGGGAACTTCTGTCATCCAGGCGAGAATCTTACCGAATTGTGTGAAAGCCAGAAACCTGAAACGGAGACTGGAGGCTGTACAGAGCCCCTAACAGCTGCTTAGCCCAGCAAACACATCTGAAAATGCAAAGAAACAATCAAAGGCATTATGCTGAAGTGCACCAATGATTCCCTGGGCCTGCTGTTATCTGGCAGGTCAGACCCACCCCAGGCACCCTAACTTAGTTGTTAGCCTTCCTCTCCAACCCAACAAAGAACAGGGAAAAAAAGAAAGAGGACAGGAAAGGATCAGGAGAAAGGATGCCACAGACAGCCCTTGACATGGGCAAGAAAAAAGGYGTGATTTGGGTTGGAGCATGGGGGATACAGAACTCACAGAGTTTTTAACAGGGTGCAAAGCAGTGTCTTGCATTGAAGGTGTATGAGTGSGAAAGGGATGGAAGTGTTAAGAGCAAACCCTAGCATATGCTGAGATGGGAAAGCATCACACAGACAACTGATTAAAAAAATGGATGGACATGACTGTCCATCACTGTGCACTGTGGGTGCCCTGCTTATTGGTATATAGAAAATCCCTGAGCAGTTTCTCAAAAAAAAAGTTTGATTTACCTATGCTACATCCTGTATGAAACAAGGACAAAAACCCAACAAACAATACAAAATGAGTCCCCTGCCTTGAAACTGGTCACATACTGTGTGCAAGACCAGAGACAATTTAGAGAAAGCAAACTAGGAAAAGAATCATGACAAAGAGTTATTTCTGTGCTCCAGGGGACAGCATGCAAAATCGTCTTTTTTTTTTTTTTCTTTGGTAGTCTGATGGGGAAGAGGTTTGGCAAAGACTCTGAGATGAAGACAGCTTTCAAATGCTGCATTTGCAAAAGGTTTAAAATAACATTTAGGGATTATTTGGGTGCTTGTAAGTCCCCTTTCCAGCAGGAGGCAGCAAACAGATAACTGTGGAAACGAACACTAGAAATACTGACAAGCTGCTTCCAATATACCCCAACAACTGCAGTCTGTAGTCACCAAGGCTGCAGCCACTTCTGTGGGCAACACTGGCTTAGATATCTTTGAATTTTCTCTTTGCACAGTTCTTTAGAGGCTACTACAGGGAAACAGAGGCAGAATTATAGGAGAGGTATGGCAGAAGCAGTTTGTAACAGCTACTTTCTCAGCCCACTCCCCAAGATAAACTCACACAACCCCTATGTTRCCACACATCTTAGCCACTGCTGTATCATCCTCACACCCTATTCTGCACTTGAAAAATAACTTAAAAAAGCAGGTGGTTGTCACAACCTATTGCTTCTCTGTTTGACAGGAACAGTCTGTGAATATTTAGCACCTTGCTCCAAGTTTGAAATTGCTACCACATGCAATGAAGCACAAGGGAGAAMTTGATTTTAAAGAGCATTACACAGCCTTACATTTCTTGTGTCAGTAGTTGTTTTTCAGTAAATGACGCTGCAGAAATAAGTCAAATTTGGCGCTGCCTTTCCTTCCACACATTTGCAGGTACCAAACTCAAGTACTCAGAGGTAGAAGCATACTGCTCTACAAGCCAGAGTCCCAGAAGCACCCCAGCTATGGTATCACAGGCTGCTGCAAAGACCTACCTGCCTGGGCTAGTTTCTCTCAATACTGTTTCCTCCTCTTGCAGAATCAAGAGACATTCAGACTGCTGCACATATAGAACTCACCAGGTGAGGCCTTTCAGCCAATCTTAAGGATTCAGAGGTGAATTATGCTGAGTAATCTCTTGTAGTAGGATTAATCTCACAGAAACACTTTTTTTTTTTTTTGTAGCTCAAGAGAGAGGGCATTTAGCTTTTGGGCTAAATCTTTAAAAAGCCCATAAACCTATCTCACATAAGACTTACTTTACCTGGTAAACAGCTTGTAAAGATGGTCATTAGTGTTAGGGCTGCTACTTTTATGTGCTGGAACAGCCCTGACTGCAGGGCTGTTAAGGAGAGGAATTAAGCCTCTCCTTAATTTGCAGAGCTGACACTGCAAAAGCTCTCCAGAGGGATGTGATGCAAGGGACTGACAGCAAAAATTGGTCACTCCTCCCTCTGACAGTAATACAAATATAGTACATTAATGAAAATCCTCCATGTTTTCAGTAAGTGACTTGAGATGGGGAAAGGAATAAGTGCTGCCATCTTATGCTATCACTAACATCTAAAGAACAAGACGAGGCTTAACTGAGCCATAAGTATTCACTGAGACTCAAACACTGCCTTTGGGACAGGTTCAACCCAAGCTCTGATGCTCAGAGTCTGCAACCTGAGCCTAAATGCTGGATTTGGCAAAATGAATTCTATTTCTTTCATGGGTTTCCCCAGAAACCCTCAATCCAAACACTAAATCAAGAGCTTAATCCTTATACCACTTTCAGAAGCCTCTTTGTAATTATCYTTTGAGTATGCTTTTGAGTCTCCATCAGTATAAATCTGGTAACAGATGATGTATTCAAACACACCAGCTGTTATGTTTGGATTCTGACTGTCAAGACAATCCTCTTCAGCAAAWAAACACATTTGCTTTTGTCTGTCATGGATGCTTTACTACAACTCTTATCTGTTAGCACTTAGGATTTTGTCTGTCTCCTGGTTGCATTAGGATTTAATTATTTGCTGAGTAAAAAAAAAAAATCACAATGTGTCTCCTTCCAGGCTGCCTGTAAAAATAAGGCAACATGGCAACTACAGATACTGCCAACTTCTATTATAAATTCTCTATCACTGATCACAATGGAAACAGAAATGAGAATTTTCATATTTATAAGAGTCCCTCTGCCCTGCATGTAGTCAGTTATTTTCATCCTTGGTCTTGCAGGAAATGTACTGGTCTTTGTCATAATAGTTTTCTACCTGAAACTTAAGATACTGATAGAAATAATCTTGCTGAACCTGTCTATAGCTGACTGGGTTTTCCTCTGGATGCTGCCTCTCCTGGCATCATCTGCTGCTCAGAAGTAGACTTCAAGCTCTGTRGCATGTCATATTATATGGGGCTTGCATACACTTCAATGTTAACTCTAATGTCTATCACCTATGTCCAGCTTACTGCTGTTACTTTTGTCACCAAGGCACATGTGTCTAACCAAATGAATGACATGGGGCAAATTAATCTCTACCTCGTCGATCTTATTAGCATTTGCTGCACCTCACTTTGTTTTTAGCAAGGTGTTTAGTTTTGATAAGGCAATATGTCAGGAAAAATACCCAAACCATGGCACAGAACTTGAAGTGAGTGATCTGAGTGATCCTTGTTTATTTTATTCCCATGCTAGCCATGATCATCTGCTACTCACTAATCATTGGAACCTTACTGCACGCTAGAARTCCTCAAAAATCAAATCTATAAATAATATTTTCTATAGCTGTCCTGTTTATTCTTACCCAGCTACCCTAAAATTTATAGGACTTACAGAGGTCACAGACTGAAGCTTTAAATTGAACAGCAGCTTTGAATGTGAAATTACAATAACTAAACCTCTTGCTTATTTTTATGGCTGTCTTAACCCTGTTTTGTATTTCTTCATGGGGATAAGAATCAGGAAGTACCAACACAAAATTATTAAAATCTTAAGACATGTCAAATGGCAAGTTATGGCTCAACAGTGGCAAACCACCAAAGAAGACTCTAAACCTTTAAGTGCTTCAAACAGTACAGATGCCACAAGCATGCACCTGCTATAAAACTGCCTAGCAAACTGGCAAATGTTTTACAGCTTCTTTTTTTTCTGTTTGTTTTGTTTGTAAATAGTGATATAGGTAGTGTAAGTGAAAGAGGAAATACAATACCATTAGTGAAAATACTGTGATCAGCTTTAGACCAATATATTTTCATCATGAGACTGCACTGCTTCCTGCTTTTTCACTCCAAGCTGGTAACTGACTTAACAGTGCAGATGATCTTCAAAAGGTATAAAACCCAATGAGATAAAACTCCACTTTTCATGACATAAAGGTAATTTGAATTTCCTAATTCCCAAACCTCTGGCCTGCTGTTTTTCTGTGAATGATATTTGTTAATGAAAGCTTTTATGCATTTTGTTTCAAATCTATTACATATTTCAGTTCAGCCCCTTAATTTAAGCAGAATTCCTAGATTAAAAACATATACATTTCACACTTCATGCTGTGTTTCATGTGTGATTGTGTTTTTTTGGATACTTAGGGTTGTTTTTTTTTTTTCCATCTGGGAGAAGGTCTCTACACATAATCCTTTAGATTTCATCTAAAATTTCTGTAATAAAGCAGCATGTTCACCTGCCTTTCATCCAGTATCAGGTTCACAGTCTGGATACCCCAWACACATTTTTGTATCTTACTTCTGATAACAGCTCATGTTGCCAGATGACCAGACCCCTTGTAAACACCAGGGATATCACATCACACGTGGGTTCCAACACTGAGCTGTGTTTCCATAGATGCAAGCTCTCACACCCCAATTCCCCATRCATTCTTTGCATCATGACACCTTTCCAGTCTCTTTTTCCTGGCACCTTGGTTCCCTTGTCATAAACTGAGGATGCCATCGTTGTGTTCCCAAATTGTTCCACCAGCTCTGCTTTTCCAACTCTGGTCTTTTCACTTCCCAGTATGAGGCAAAAAGGTGTGCAGGGGGCAGAAAAGTATGCAAAAGCTCTTGCAGAAAGTAGCAGAACAAATGTGCAGACTGGAATTGGGGAAAGAAAGAAGGGATGTTGCAGAGGAGCAAAGGCAGGGCTTTATCCAGTTGTGAGCTGCCTGTGATAAAGGYAGGGTTGGGTCTGGCCCAAAGGGTCACAGTCTTCTGCATTACACCTTTGAAATACCAGTTTTAAACCATTTCTTGCAAAAAATGTTTCAAACCATTCTTGCAAAAAACCACACTCTCTGGGAGTTCCTTTGCTCCCCATTAATACCCAGGCCTTCCTATCAGAACACTGCAGCTCAGAAGAACCTGACCCTTATTGGCAGCATTGTGTACAAGACACTTTTTTCCCCTTAAAAAATAGCTGCTTAGGCAATCCTTTCCTTACTGCACAATCTCTTGTTTCTCCCACAGTGAAATACCATTAAAAACAAAACTAGGAAGGAATGTGCTGTGATTWCATGTGTAAAGATTCTATCTCAACACACAACTGCAATGCAGGATTTGCCAGCAGAAGGCCTGTCCTCATTCCTTCCTGGCTGATTCTGCACCAGACAGGGAATGCTTTGGACAACATTCAGTTCCCCCTTTTGGTTACACCACACCCTGCCTGGCCATGTGAGTTGTAATTAGGTCAGCAAAGAGTGTTATGAGTCATTAAGAAAAAAACAAAAAAAGAATCCAAACCAAAGCACCCGCACTGCAGACAGGCTGAGATGTTCCTTCTACCACTACCAAAGTATGAATAAACTCTTTGTTCCTGTACCAGGGTAGTGGCACGTTTGGAGGGGTTTTTTTCACTCTTCTGCTATCTTGATCTTGATTTTGCTGCTGCAACATTTATTGCAGGCATGTTATGCCTACAACACATAAAAATGGAAACACAGYGCACTGCTGTATCCTGGGGCCTTTGTTTTAGAACACAATCTGCAAATGCGAATGCTTTAGAAATAAGAGTTTAAAAATACAAAACTTCAAAAGAAAACCCATGAGCCTTGAAGTAGCAGGATGTACCACAATGGCCCAATTAATCTCAGCTTCTCACATTTAAGATTTTGATCAGGTTGCTCCAAATACACATAACAGACCTGAAAGGATGAAGCAACTGCTGCTTAATCCTAAACTCTAGGAAAGAGCTACTTCAAAGTCAGCCAGAGTTATGCTGGTACATCATCTCTCTTATCTTGCCACATACCTCTGCAGGTCATGACCAAGCTTTAATTGATTCTCAATCATGACCAAATTTTAATTGATTCTCAACCGAGCTGTACCAATAAAGAGAGTTTTTCAAAATTTGCTGTTATGAAATAATTTTGTTGTAATTGTTTCATGCCACTTCAAGGAAAGAACTACAGTGGCAGGGATAAGTGAAGACAACAAGTGAAAAACAGAGTAACAGTACAGTAGGCAACAAAAGGGGGACAATCCTTTAAGATAATTCACTGCTTTGAGGACCAACTGGCATTTTCAGTGCAGCAAGGACTCACACATAGAATAGGTAGGGTCAGTGGGTAAATCTCTGCCATCAGCCAGAATAAGTTTATAAGAAACTATATCAACAGAACATGTCAAACGCAGATCTTCTATTTGGACAGCAAGCCTCCCTTGTCCTCCCTCTCTTGGCTGTTCATCTCCCTCACTTTTAGAGCTCCACCAATTAGYTCAAATCTCTGGGAAAACCCAAGTAGTTTGGACTATTTTCAGCAGATCTCAGTAAGAAGCCTAGCCTGAAAACTTATTTGTATGCCTTCGTCAGGCCTGCATCTAGGAAGCACCATCTTGGATCCTTTGTGTGCTCCCCAGGCACAATATCAAAGCAAATTCAACTCCAAATATTCAATTTAATGAAAAGATAACACTAYTGGAATGACAGTGGAGACTATGTGAAGTTTCCATATAGAAATTAGGCCACATTTAGCTGGACACTTTAGAAAGAAAAAGAATAAAGATCAAAGKTCTACATGAAGTTCAAGGTGTTCAGTCTAGTACAGCCAAGAAATCTGTAGCAATGAAACCAGTAGCTCAGAAAGTCACTTAACTGCAGATCCTTGAAATGTGGGAGAAAACACAGTGGAAAATTTTCAGTACACCTCTCATAGGCTGCTGTCAAAAGTAGGACAGAGTGTTGGCAGAACCTTTGCTCATACTCAATACAGCAGTTCTGGCACATTTACTCTCAAATAACCAAAGTACCTCACGCTGTCTTATCTGTTTGTGTGCTAAGTGACACTCAAGCTTTGGGTACACATCTACTCCTCACCACAGAAACAAGTGAGAAAACTTGTGTGCTGTCACAGTCAGCACTGTGCCCTGCTATTTTTCTTTAACATGTACCACAGGCACCACACAAGCATCTGMCTCAGGTATCAATTTCTAGATCTCTCCCATAACACAAAACCACAATCAACACGAGATGCTCGAGTCATCTGCAATGCAAGAAGGCCATTCTCCTCTCCAGTGCTCAGGCTAGTGAGACCTTCCAAACATTACTGGTGCCATGGGAAAGGGCAGGTGTCATTAGTGTTCTCTGCAAAGAATGCCTTAAGTTCAACATATTGCCATAGTAGGACTTCCCCACCTGCTCATGAAACTGATAACAAAAAGCAACATAGGACGAAGCACTATTTCCTGGCTCTCCTGCCTGTAATCTGACAACAAGGGAAGGTGGACAACCTTTAAAAGTTTACATGGTGCAAGTAAGTTGTTCCATRGGTGCTCTTCAAGAATAGCATTCCCTTTTTAGTGGCAATCTTTCTTCCCAGCCTGAATACTTTGTCAGACAAGATGAATCTAGACCAATCTCAAATTGATACAAATGGAGACCCACACTTATTTCTTTTCTCCTGGTTGTTTTCTCCAAAGCTAACTCACCTATAATATACCTGCTGCAGTTACTATGAATTAAAGGAAGTAGTACACTTCACTTTTTTCTTTATGAAACAAACAAAAATTCAGCACCACAAATTGTCCTTTTGAAAAACAAAAGCAATACTAAATTCACAAGGGAACTGAGAAGCTCAGTTCAYTCATATCTGCCCAGCACATCATAACCAGGAATATACTGTCAGTGTTAACAATATACAAAGTAGGCAGAATACATATAAGGTATTTACCAAGAAAGAAACATGAAGAATGTTGACAAGACTTTTACCAAATAAACAAGTTGGCACTGTCTGCTTCAACCCAAACTGCAAGTTACTGTGGTTTGTACTGGGAACAGGTCTGCTGAGAGCAAGAGTCTAGGTTTGCTTTCTCAGCAGCACACTATTTACTCTGTGACCACTTTCAGTTCAGCATTTAGATTTATCATGTCTTGTTTTTCTGCTCAGAAGCAAAGTAAGTACAAAGTAAGTGAAATTGCTCATTTTGTTTTTTCTTCTCAAAAGAAAATATATTTTACAGAAAAGAATTTTTGTAAAATATTTGAAAATATGTGAGCAATAGTAAGACAATATTTTGTGTAAAACTGGATCCACATTAAACTATAATACTACAACATATTTTGCACTCCAAGTATTCAGATATTCAGATGGATTTAGATACTTTTCATTGGGAATTGATGTAGAAATAGATGTAAAAAAATTACTGAAATCTGCACCCATTCTCAGTTTCTTAAGAAAAAAAGAACAAACTAGGGCCAGATATAGCTACACAATTGTTCTTTTTCTTTTCTCCAAGCTGTCTTCTTTAAGGTAGTAAGGAATCCTATGGACACAAACAGGTTATTTCACATTTAGTTCAATGAAGTCTGTCATCAAACATGCCCATTTTTCCTTAATTTCTTCCCCTCCTTGTTCTGCTGATTTTAAACACAAGTGAGTCTGGCAGTATCATTTAGCTCTTATAAGTTGTGTGACCAGTGATCCAGCATGGCCTGTATGCTGACTTTAGTGGTGACAGCTGGCCTGATGACAGCACAGAGCTGGGGCTACTCAGGTGGAGGGAGAGGATGGAGCAGTTTGGATTTACTAGATTGAACACTGTGCAAATAGACCAAAATTATCTTGTGTTGGTCTACTGAATATGTGGCCTGAGAAGAGAAGTCTATTCTCTTTATGCAGAGGTTGACTACTCTCACTGAATGGGGGGAAAAAAAGAACATTCTGAAGCAAATCCCAAAGAGTCCCCTCTTCGAGAAGTGGTGTTTACTCACAGATCTGTCACACTTTGATCCAGAGAGTCTCTTTCCATCTGACTTTCATTGTGGAGAGAGTCTGATTCCTGTACTTGGCACAGCTCCTCATCAGTGATTATATCAAATGCTGCATCATCTGGTGGTTTAGAGGCTTCACTTGCAACTGTGCCAAAAAAGAACATGAGAGAAAAATAAACAATATTAGCTGATTGTCTGGAAAATAAACAAGCAGAAGCTTTAAGAGGAAAGCCTGGGCTATTTCTGTAGATTTACAGAAGCACTAGATAACTATTAGAACTAATGGAAAATTTTGGGCTGACTGACACTCTTTTAATATACATGCACATTTCTGTCAATGCTAACCAAATTTAAAGATGGCATCAGCCCCACCTCAAAACACTCCATGACCTTGTGCAGGTCCTTGGAGCAGGAGGTGACCATGTGGTTTCTAGGAGTCTSTCAAAAAACCCTACTTATTTCTCCACAGCATGCAAACAATAAACCAACCAAAAGCCCTCTCGGGTGGTGACACAGGAGATTCCAAYGAAGCTGGTGATCCTTCCTGATTGGCACTGGATCCAGAGTCATCTGTACTGTCCACAATGACTCTAGGCTTATTAAAGCAAGCTCTGCAGCAGCGCTCCTTTTTTCCACCAGGTTTTGTCACCATGTAGTTGTTGCAGCAGTAGTAGCAGAAAATGCGACCACACATTCTAGAAATGATTCAAAACCAAAGGTGTTAGAAAAGTACCACATTTAGCTAGAACACATCTATGTGACAGTGTTTGGGGCTCTGTTATAATGGTCTTGTTTTCTGCAAAATCATGAAAGCTACACCAATTGGGAGAACTCATAATGACTGTGCTCCTTTCTGAAGTGAYGCAAATTTTCTTGACACGCACAGCTCATAAATTCACATTCACATTTTGCTACCTTAATAAACAAGGAAAACAGAAAAAACTAAATATTCTTCAAAAAATATCTAAATRTAAAGACATAAGACAGTCAAATGCCCACAAATATACAATACAAATAAGTAATTTTCACATTAAGTACATAGGAAGRAAGTTACTTAATAATGTTAAACAGGTTACATCTCATAGACAAGTAGAACAAAACTTGGTTTGATTGTAAGAACCTGCTTCTCCCCTTCAGACAGGAAAGAAAAAAGTATTGGACACATACATTTACATTCATTCTTCCTGCCTTCTTCACTCTGAGTCTCTCAGTATTAAACCTGTCAACTACTTTTTAATGAGCATGAGATTTTCATGAAGAAAAGCACCCAGCAGAGATGACTGCTACTCATTAAATTTTAATGGTTTTGTTTTTCATAATCATTTAAATCATTGCAGGGTGAAGACACAAGCAGCTTTCAGAGACCTTAGTAGAAATGAGTAATTTGGAAGTTGTTACCCAAGATGACTTCACCATCCACTAATCCCTATAGAATGTTGCTTACACTCATGTGAAATGGAAACAGTTCCAGTTCTTCTTTCTTTACAGGATGAATCAAGTTATGAGGATAAGAAACAGTAAAGAGCCAAACCAAACATMTCACTAAGACCCTGAAATACATCCATTTCAAAACATTTTCATAAATTTAGATTGGATAAATAATATTTACTATAGGGGAAATAATTTAATGTCCACTTAAAAAAGAATACTTCCATCATAGTGGCAAATCCATCCCAGTGAATATTGTTYAGAGCATGCACAGAGCAGCACACAGTCCTTCAAAGAAACAAACTATGAAGGGTGTGATTATCTTTGTTTCCAGAAAGGAGAAACTAACAGACGCCCCAAGTCAGAGWTGCATCCAGATCTTTGCCTTAATACATATCAAGGGATCTTTCCATAGAAGTCTCTTATCCCCATGTAAGCTCATGTGTTTTTTCAGCTTTTACTATGTCATATATCAATGATTTTGATCACTGAAGTGTGAACWCTAAGAAACACTTCCTTCATGCAGACAATCATACTGACTTTTGAACAGTGCAATACAGTTCAACAACTGACCTGCAGTGGTGTCGCCGCACCATCCATGAGAACTCTCTCTGGCAGTCCAGACAGTGATTAACTTCTGTGTCCCCCTGCCACCTCTGCTCTGCACTAAGCTTCTGCTGGAACTCCAGAGCATCGGATTTTTGCCACAAAGCATCCTTATCTCTGAAGTAACACAGTTAAAAGAAGGAAAAACAGAGAAAAGCTGTTAATGCTGGTTTACTGTTAACCAGCCTCAACTGGAATGTTGGTGAAAGCTTTACAGATAAAATTCCTTTGCTCTAAACWTCTGAGGAGCTTTCAGAAATAAAGATAGACCAAAAAACCTACCGAAAAAAAAAGCTAATATTAAGGAGATAATATTGAGTGATACATTTTTTGACTATATTATGGAAAGGCAAAATTTCAACTAAAAATGAATTTGGCCATTACTTGTATCTTCAGTTTGGGAATACAAGCCTGGATGACCTAAGCAGTATCCCTGGATATCTTAAGYGAGTATTTTAATTTCTGCTTGCCATTTATTTTTATGCCAACCTGATAAGCTCTATCAAACGTTCTTCAAGGAACTGCTTTGTTCTTGTCAGGTCATCCAGCTCAGCAAATAACTTCTGGTCACTGCTATCTTTGTCTGCTGCCACCTTGCTGAGCTTCTCAGTGTAATCCAGGATCTTCTCTTTTGCTTCATCAGCTTCTTTTTGGATCCTGACCAAATACAAAGGCAATTATGAATCATTTTTAGCTCATGTGCATTCAAATCTTCTCTCCCTGAGGAAGGGCTCCCTCACCCTGATAAACAGGTAGTTTCAGTGAAATTTTTCCCAGTGTGCATATGTTTTAGAGCTAGATAGAATCTTCCCAGTTTTCTCCATCACTGAGAATGCACACAGATCCATCATCACAGCCAGGAAACAGTTATTTCTTGGATGCCCTGCGTATAGTAAAGCTTATGATGGCTACCACATTGGGAATAAAACAGATGATATCACAGAAATATAAAAATATATAGGCTTTGTTTAACCTATTAGACTCTGTGTGAGCCCATGCCTCATGCAAATCTATTTCTGACTGCCAGATTATCCACACCAGATAGGGCCACATTACAGATCTACAGAAAACACATCCTGAGTTAGATTATTAAAGCTGATAAGAAACCTGACAAAGACATGCAGGATGTGGTTCCATTCAGATAATTCTTACTGATTCCCTGAAACCTTATGAAGAGGAGAGAAAAAACAAATTTTCCATTCCTTATTAAAAAAAAAAMMMCAATATTATTTTAATTTTGTGCTTAACCTATAAGGTAAAAGGAGGTAACAAAGAAGTCTTTCATGAATTTACCTCATTAACAATACAGTAAAAACAAAACCGTGCATTCATGTGTGCTGGATMATTTCCATATTTCTCATCTGCAGTGTCAATCTGATATTCCCTGTCAGTGCCCTTGCACTATTTGTTCTATATAAAGCCAGTGACATATGGTACTTCATAAACCATGGCACAATCAATTTTGGTTATTGTCCCCTTGCTTAGCCTACAATTAACAGCTTGTGCAAAGAACCCTAATGCTCACCTTTCCAGGAGCTGTCTAAGAGATGTCACCTCCTCTTCCTTCTGCAGTCGAGCAGACTCTGATTCAGACAGCTGTTCTCTTGCTTCATCCAGCTTTCTACACAAACTTGTGTTTGCAGCCTAGTAAAATAAACTACTGTATTTCCTTACACATAAAAATAACACTTTACCACGCATAAGAAAATTACCAAGAGAGATAACAATGTTTAAAAGAATCCATTACAGCCAAACGACCAATTAGGATATCATTGTATAAGCAGGCAGTAATTAGTTGTGTACTAGTGCCTGATTATTTCTGTCACACTGAATAAGGGATACACTCTAAAGCAAAACAGTATTAAGCCTGTAATTCTTATTAGTCCATGTCAGCTGAGCTTTTGCCTCCTTATCAAGGAAAATCTCTCAATGGGAAAAGAATACACTCTGAAAGCTCTTTCACCACCTAAAAGCTTCAAAAGAAAAACACTAAATAGGAAGAAAATTTTGTTTATTAAAACCCATATGGAATACGAAGGACAATTGAAAACAACCCAACTTCTTTCACAGCTAGCCTTTCCAGAGAAGTCTGCCAAACTTGGAGTCCTCAGGGAATATACCTAACTACATCTAAAGGTATGTATTTCACCTAGCAGGCAAGGAAGGCCACATTCAGTAATCTTAACTTTCTTCTGTCTGGATTCCTTACAGCTCAGTATGACCCTTCTAACTCAACTGTTTGATAAATTCATTGCAAAARTTATATTTTTTCCTGGCTGGGTTATTTCTCAGCCACAATAATTCTCTGATTCAGTGCCCTTTRCAGCCTGCAAAGAGATGGATCTACACTTGTGGCTGTGTGGGCATGCAGGGCCTAAGAAAGACACCTTTCCAACCTGCACCCAAATTTAAGAAGAGAATTTTTTACTCTTACATAAAACCTGACCAGCTTTCAAGACAGGACAAATCCTATGTGACATTGTACTTTTCATAATCTCTGCCTTCGTGGCTGTCAGCTGCCCAGTATTATTTCTGCAGCACCTGTATTTATACAAAGGCATTCTCAGACTCACAGCCAGTCATCAGAAATGCTGTTTGCCTTCCCAGTTGTGACACTAATCCCTGCTGACACAAACACCTCTGGTTTTAAATCAGATCAAGCACCTACTTGTAACTCTGTAATCTCTTCCTCCGCAGCATGCTGTTGTCGCTTCTGCTCCTCRAGTTGTTCTTTTACTTTCCCACACTCTTCACTGACAGCCTGGCAGAGAGATTGAGTCCGTAGTTAACAACCCTCCAGTGGCCATCCCTTCACCAACGAAATTCCCAGCTGTGAATTATGAGTGCTCTTACTGCCATGCAAGAGATAAATGCAGCACCACTGTCTCAAGAAAGACAGCCAAAAAGACACTSAGCTCTTGGAATCAAGCAAAATCCCTTCATAATGGCACAATAGCTGTGTTTTACTGTTACTTTGCATAGGCTATTGCAATTCAGAACAAAAAGAAGCTCAAACTCAGGCAGTGGTGTAAGACTCCAATAAACCACCAATCTTAAGATGTTTTATCAGAATGGCAAACAAATACAACTAAATCTTCAGCCTTTAGGTATTCTGTTTCACATGCAGAGGGCTGACTTTTSTGGAAGAAAAACTTTGATCTTCTCAGCTGCCACCTTGAGCAGCTGGAAGCAAAAAACATGAGGGAGTTAAATGCAAAAGCATYCTGGTCTCAGTCTAAGTTTCCTTTAATCAAAATCAGTTCTTGGGAGAAGCACTATTACAGGTGTGAGGAACAGATCTTGCAATGTTCCTACCAAAAAAGAAAACAACAGCTGTGAGCAGAGGGACAGAAGATGCCACCTTCTGTGCAAACACGACAAATCATCACCCTCTGAGTACTGACTTGCTTTTCTGTATCACATGGCCTCTCCACTATACRTGTCCATAAAACTCTGAAGAGTTATTTTACCTCAGATAGGCCTAGGTCATGAGCATAGAGACATTCTCAGATTCCCAGGCTTAGGCTAGTTGCTTGTTAGTCTCAGAGTCTGACCCACACAAACCTTAGGATTTCATGCAGTAATTGCTGCAGCAGATGGTAAAGCAGCTCCCTAAGCTATAATAATTACAGTAATTTACCTTGAATTTTGTCTGATAATTTAGAATCTCTGTGCTCATTTGAAATTTTATTGCAGACAGCTCTTCTTGGCTGGTCTCTTGGAAACTCTGTGCCTGTTTCTTTACTGCCTCCAGCTGCAATTGCAGACCTGGGACAGCTGCGGCACACATTTGAGCCTCCTCTAATTTCTCTTGCAGGCTCTTGTTCTCTTCTCTGAGATTAGAGATGTCAAACTTCAGCTTCTCCTGTTGCTCTGCTGCCTGTTCTTCCAGTTCTTTGAACCTTTCTGTGGCCTGAGCCAACTGCTCTTCTGCATCCACCTTTTCAGAGCTCAAGGCACAAATTTGAATACCAAGTTCAGCCATATCAGTGTTGGTCCTGTGRAGAAGATCTTTATTTTCTGCATTTTCCACTCTAGCATTTTCCAAATACCGCTTAACCTTAGACAGCTCTTCCTTTAGGTTCATCAAACTGTTTTCCAGTTCAGCTTTTTCATGGGCTGTTACTTCCTGCTCCTTTTTCAGCAATTCTTCCCTTTCTTTACATTGCACCAGTTCTTGCACGTGGTTTCTGTTGAGAGACTCACTCTGCTCTTTCAGCTGCTGGACAAGCACCTTCTGCTCACTCAAGACAGTCTCAGTGACTGCCAGCTCACCTCTCATCCTCTCTCTCTCATCAGTGGCCTGCTGAAGCTTGACTCGCAGGTCAAGGACTTCTGCTTGCAGCCTGGACACTTCCCCTCGGTTCACCTCCAACTGCTCTTCACTCATGGTCAGTCTGAAGGCCAGCTCTTTTGCCTCCTTCTCCAGGGACACTGCCTGCTGTAGTTGCTGTTTTTCCACTGATTCCTTTTCTGATGTGAGAGWTTCTATAAGTTTTGTCTGATGAAGGCAGGTCTTTTCAACACTGAGCTTTTCCRTCTCAAGAGTCTCTGCTTTCTTCCTGTATCCTTCAGCTTCTGCTCGTAGCTGCTCACATTGGCTCTCCATGCCCTGCAGTTCTACTTCCTTCTCTGTGAGCTGTGACTGGAGACACTCTTTGCTTTCCTTCAAGGTGTCCAAGCTTTTTTCCATTTGTAAACTATGATGCTTGGCACTCTTCAGTTGTGCTTCAAGKGAGGCGTAAGACTCTTTGGAGGTCTCTTCTCTTTGCTTTAGTTCTTCATATTCTGAGTGCAGAGCCTCCAGCTTCTCCTCTAGAACCTGGTTTTGCCTCCTGGCATTCTGCAAGTCCTCATCCAGCTGTTTGTTCTCACCCCGGAGCTTCTTCTCTTTTTCATCAACTGACACCAGGGCATCATCTATCTCACTCTGAAGTTGTTTCTCAGAGGCTCTCAACCTGGATACATCGGCTTCCAGGGAAGCTTTAGAAGCTTCCAGATTTTTCAGCTTCTCTTCCATCTTCTTCTTGGACTGCTGCAAATTTTCATTCTCTGCTTTCAGTTTCCTGCTCTCCTCATCCAATTCGCTCACCGCAGAGTTTTGCTGCTCCATCTSCTCCTCCAGCTCCTTGATTTTCTGTCTGAGATGCTCCTTCTCAGACATGAGTTTCTGGTTTTGCTCCTGAAGGCTACACACAGTCTGACTCACCTTTGTTAAGCGACCCTCCTGTAGTTCAAGTTGCTCTGCTTGTGACTGGGCTTCCTGCTTCAGTGCTCCTTCCCTCCTACCATACTCCTCCTCAAGTTTCTCTTTTTCCTTCCTGGCTTCCTCAAGATTTTTTTCCAGTGAACCCAACTGAGCTAGAGACCCCATTACCTGGGTCTGAAGCTCAGCCATCTCCTTTCCTTTCAGAGTAAGGGCCTTTTGAAGTGCATCCTTTTCCTTTGTCATGGTCTCCAGGCTCCCAATCAGCTTTTCACTCTCTTCTTTGGAGTTAGCTGTGAGGTGACTGTATCTGGATTCCAGTTCCTTCTGTGCCTGCTCTTTCAGCAGCAGCTCCTCCCTTGCTGMTTTCAGCTGAGAAGCATGTTCATCATTGAGTCTTTGCATATCTGCCTTTTCCTTTTCCATCTCTTGAAGCCTCTCTAACAGTGCCCGTATTTGTAGGGTAGAGTCATACTGGGCTGTGGCTTCCTGTCCCTTTTTGTCCAAGGCAGCATCAACTTTTGCAAGGAGGTTGAGGTTCTTCTGTTCTGTGGAATTCAGCTTGGCTTTGAGCTCATCAATGCAAAGATCCTTCACAGCAATCAAAGCCCTAGAGGTCTCCAGCTCCTGATTTGAAACCTGCAATTTTGAGGCACAATCTTCCTTGCTGGTCAACAGCTGCTCCACCTTTGCTGAGTGTTCCTTCTGCTGCTCCACTGCATTCAGTTCCAGTGACTGTAGGCACTTCTGCAGGTCRTGGACAGTGCTCTGAGTGGAGTGCGAGACCTCACACTGCTTCTGTAACTCTGTGATCATCTTTGTCAGCCGGGAGTTCTCTTCACTGTAGTTACTGCTCTTCTCCTTTTCTGCCTGTACTTGTTCTTTTTGAAGGCTAACAGCTGCCTGGAGCTCCTGGTTTTCAATTTCTAGYTGGTGAATACGATCTTGAAGTTCCCTCTGCCTCAGCTCAGCCTGGTCAAGTTCTAAGCGCATCTCTTCATAGCCCTCAAGGTGTTCAACATTTAGTGAGTTGTTTACATCAGGGCTGGAAGGAAACTCTTGTGCCTAAATGAACAGAAGCAGAGAAGAAGAAAGTTTAAGTAGTACTAAACATGTATTTAAACRGTGTGCTCAAATGAGAGCAAGTTCAGGTTCTTGAGGTACAATGATAYTGTGTGTTGCCTTCATAGCACTGCAAGCTATAAAATTCTAGTAAATGGGGCTTGTTTTCCCAAGAGAAATGAAAACATACCTGTCTGCAGACGGTGTTCTTTTTTTCTTTTACAAGATTTGCGCGTCTAGCTGAAGCAGCTGACAATTCCCTTTACTTTTAGTTGAGTGCTTTATGTAGTTTAGCATTTTAAGACTCTTAACCATCATAAAACTACCAAGTTCTCTGGAACTATGCCAGCCAAAGACCTACCATTACACATAAACATTTATCTGCAATTTGCTTACCTGCAAATAATTGCTCACTAAACTGCTCATGCTGGAACTSCGACTTGGGGGCTTCCATAAATATGCTGAAGATCCAAGCGAGGACAGAGTCCTCCTGTTGATCACACAGTGAAACAATATATAAGGTAAGTCTCAGTACATACATATGTGTATTTGCATATGTGAGATTTATCTAGTGGTAACTACCACATAAAGAAAGACATAATTGCACCTGCTGTCTTGACCAAAAACCATTGAAGTTGATGAAAAATAAGATAGGGATATCGAAGGTCTCTTTAAAAGATGATGGGGCTGGTAGCTGTCACTTCCCATGTCCACAAGAACCAACGCAGCCTCGCTCAAAAGAATTTTATTGCTGTATGGCGGTGGTTTAACCGGATGGTGGCAGCAAAGGGTCCTAGAAAACTCCCACTGATATAAATGGATCTGGACCAGACCTGGTAGTTTTTGTTAWCYAGTTTTGMATGGGATCACTACAYGTCTCAGCTCTTGAAACAGAGGAARTTAAGAACATTTCTTCTTGTGCGTGGATAGATGAGAATAGCTTGGATTTGGGCCTAAACTGCAGTTACTGTAAATGCAGTATTCAGAGCATCATCTCTGATCTCTGGTACTCAGTATACTGAAGGAGATGCAGGCCAATTTGGTCATGGATTAATTACATAAGAAAAAGTGTATACCTGCTCCAACGCAGTTATTCCTACATTCAAAAGTAGAAGCTTTTWCAGATTCTTTAGCGAGCAGGTGTTTTATGTCCTTGTTAATACAAAATGACTGCATGGCTCCATCTTACCTGGCAAATGCTGGCCAAGCAGCATCTAAATCATAGCCTCTTGATGCCAAGTCAAACTGAACATCAGTGAGCTCATACAGTTGACCCACAATATCAGAACTCATTTTGGAATTCAGAAATGGACTTCTTGCATAGTACCAGTCACTTGAAAACAAACAAACAAAAGAGAAGTAATACTCATTCCAAAGCAAAAGAGAAGTAGCAGTTTCTCTTACAAAAGAACTCAACATCATTATTCCCACCACCTCAGAAAAATGATGGTAGAGTATTCTAAACACAATTGAAAACAACCAGACTCACCAGACAATATCCTTTCAACAACCAGACTCACCAGACAATATCCTATTGTTTAATGTCAATGAAATTAAACAACTTTAATTAATTCCAAATAAATATCTTTAAAGAAGTCCCTGCACAAAATATTTTTCCTCTAGTGCTCAAGCAAATCACTGACAATACGAAGTATTTGCTATACACTGGATAATCACACAGTAAATACCTAAAGCACACATTTAACACATCAAAAATGAGGARCAGAAAGCAGCATCCAGAGTTAAACAACTTGTGAAAGTAGCTGGCTTTTTCTTAAAGCCCTAGCAGTGTACCTCCAACCAAATACAAACTATCTTTGGAGTTTTTTGCCCAGGGGCTAGTTGTTCTTCTGTGTGACCAGCMGGAGATATAAGCAAATGCTTGCTGGGGCTTTGTGCAACACCTCCAAATTAATCCTCTACTCATTATGAATAGCTCATCAAATCCAGGATTTCAATACTTATATCACCTTTGAAACTGACATACAGAAGCATCAGCACAACCCACTCCACGCATATTTAGCTGTAATAACTTTCAATCTTTACAAGCCCAAGATATGCATGAACCAGTGACCCAGGCCAAAAGGTCTATTATCCTTCATATCCTATTACCAGCTCTCTAAGCCAAACATTTGGAAGCATTTCAATYTCTTTCAATAGCTACTAGGTTATGTTGCTTGATCTCAATGAGCAAACACTCATTAGTTAAAAAAGTACTTTGCTATTCACCTGGTCACTTTAGTGTTCATAAAACATTGCTGCAAGGTGTCTGCTAGCCTTTGGTGAACCAGGGAGTAACGAAGAAATGCTCTTCCTTTTCCAAGAGAGGTTCGTAGCTGGAAGGGAGAAACCACAAGAAAAGAAACGTCTAAATGTCAWTTGTAATCATGTAGAGACACAGCATGAACAGATTACATAGTGACACAAAATTACTCACAACATGCCTCTGTAAAGAAGAAAGTTGTAAAGGAAACCAGTAAGAACTCAGAAACATCTTTTCCTAAGTCTGTCATTGAGTGGAATCTTATCRGAATGATGAATTTGTTTCTACAGTTGGCTGTTGACCATTTTATAATACTGTAAAAGGCACCACAGGACCAATGAATCATCTAATATATTAAGTACATGAGTCCAGGCTATGCTAAGGACAATTCACAATATAAGCCATATATCAATGTGCCCAGCAAAGGCAGATGTGACTGCTTAARTTATTTAAGATGTGCATGGCCACAGCTGGAAGAGCTTTAGGACAGATTTAGTTATAGAACAAAGATGTACACATTTRCAAATATACATCCCCATGGACACAGTAACCCCAGGCAATGCAAAAAGCCCTTCTTAATACTTAGCCATTAAGTTGATTAAAATCTAATTCTTTCTMCAGACCAAGAGCAGATGCATGACCAAAATTAATGGATCTTTTTTATGAAGACAGCTGTTAAATCAACATAAGGGTGATCACAAAGCTCTGCACTGAATTTTGTAACAGCTATTGACTTGGGAATTGATGTTTTATTTTTACATCTGAACCATTTTCTGTACTGCAAAATAGTGAAACACTAAATAGTGTTTTATTTCTTCTTTCTATCAAAGTCAGGAATCAATTTAGGAATGGAAAAGGAGCATGACGAAAGAATTTCTCACTTAACTGCTCATCCAACTAGCAAAGCAGATACATTTCGATTTAAAATAGAAGGCAAGACAAATATTAGAGAGGCTGAAGCACAAGTTAGTCAGTTACTGTAAAATTTGCTTGAAAAGTTAGTGTTATAGAAGGCTCAAAGCCCACACAATCTTTCTTTCCTACTGATCAGCATTCCACTGCGGTGAAGTGAGAGCAACACCTTAAACTCTCATCTTCCTTCTTTTCATTGTCACTGGTCTTCTGCTTCGAAGTAAGACAAGTTTTTAATTTAGCTCAGTAATAACCCACTACATACAAAAATGTTCTTATGAATGGAACCTGAATTAAATGTGAAGCAAAGAAAGCAACACTTATTACTGATTTTTGGTTTGAATTCTATTGGATGCAAAGTGCAAAATACTGTGGTCCCAAAACAGTAAGTATACCAGAAGAAGCAAATTTAATTTATCAACTGGTTTTCACCCTCATTCATCCCACAGATATCTGAACATGTCTTCAGGAAGATGTTATCCCTACTCTGTGCAAAGAAGCATACAAGTGGTTTTCCCTGTTTTTTCCAGGCACATTTAGTGAGTACCTGAAGAACTGTCAAAAAAACCCCAAACAAATCCAAACCCTGGAAGCCACAGAATTAACTCTATCTTATTCTCATTGATTTTTCAATTTACATTGCAATGCCTTCTTTAAGGAATACAGAGAGATCAGAATAAAGGCACATGATGAGAAGCAGAGGAAAACATTTACACACATGCAGCTGYGAGTAGCAAAAGACTGACTGGGAAGCAAAACCATGCCACCTCCTGCTGGAACCCTGCTAGAAATCAGGAAGGCAGAGTGTCTGGTATTGACAGTGTTTCCACCTTGACAGCAAACACTGTAGCTAAGGTGCAGTGTATGGCTGTAAAGATTTGGACAGATATGTATTCAGTGTAATCACCTTTTGAAAGGGGAAAGGGAATGACCAGAACTCACTGCTCACCTACAACCCTCAAGAATAAGGCCCTCTGCATAATTAACACATAACAGCTCTCAGGGTATTCTTGTTTGCTTCCTTGCTACACCTCTCTAGCATACTGTGCACCCTAATATTAGAAGCACTACAGGCAGACCAGAAGAGGAGGCATTATGCTGTGGAATGTTTGACCATTCTTAAAATTAACTGCTACTATTTCTGTTTTGTTCACTTCCACCTTTGAAAGTCAACTAGCATTGTTCAGTGAGCAAATAAAGGACATTTGTAAACCTTTATGTTCTGTCCAGCCAGGTACAAAAATTAGCTGCTGATTTCTATCTGTAATGAAGAGGAAAACCACATACTTTTGTGTCACATGTCATTTAATTTTGGGTTCTGAGTGTGCYAGTTCAGTTATCTGGAACAGTTCACTGATACCTTTTTAAGAGTTCATATTCCTAAACCACAAGTTAATAAAGATTAAATAAGCCTTCCACAAGCTAATTTCTATGGATGCACATAAATTGCAGAAGAAAGTATCCTGCTTACAAACCCTAATTTCTGATATTGCGCGGACAATTAAACAGCCAGGGGTACTGAAGAAGGAAAAAGTGCAGTCATTACATGTGGTAATGTGCAGATAATTTCACAGGCAACAGTGTTGAGGACTACAGCATAGTCACCTTTGCAGAGAAATCAGAGTGGTTACTGCTACTGAAAATATAGGGGCCACTATCTAAAGTCAGAGGATTTTTCCTGCAGCAGCAGTTACTCTCCTTACTTCTCCAGTCATCCTGTAGTGGRAAATTCAACCCARGTTTCWGTGCCTCTCTTCTCCTTCCCGTGGKTAAAACAAACTGGAGCCCTTTCWKGGATTAGTCACCTTAAAACAGCAAAATTCTATACTGGTGAAGTTGTGAAGAGAAGAGAGAAAGGTAGGGAACACAGAACCTGCTTCTGTTATGGCTCTCTTTCAGGTGGATCAAAACAACATCATCTAGAGCTGCTGTGGAGGAATTCCTAAGAGAACWGGAAAATATGCTGTAAATAGTAACTAGCAAATGCAAGTTAGCACTGCTCACAGATAATGGAAGAGAGCACTAACACACCACCACCTGAAAATCTTTTTCAAACGATTCCAAAGACTCAGACAGGATCAACACAGAAAGCTTCCCAGAGCATTTATTTCACCCACGCATTAAGCTGAAGACATAACGTGGTTTTTACAAGATTAAACTTTTATTACTACCTAAATCTAACAGGAACAAGGCTTTTTTTACAGTTCCTGACAGCTTACCCAAGGGAATAATGACAACCACCTCGAGTMATTTCATTATGCTATTTCACACCAGAGGAACAAAGTTGACACAGAAGATGAAACTGCTGCTCTCAGTCAGTGCTCCTCAACTCTATGGAACAACTGAAAAAGTCTCAAGAAATATCAAATATGGTGAAACTTAAGTGTTACACTTGCAAGCTGGGCTGAAAATAGCATCTGCTATCCTTGACTTGATTTTCCATTTATTTTTAGAGAAAATGGCACTAACTTTATGAAAGGGCAGGGCACAACTAGAGACAAACAGGTCCATTCACATGTGTAAGTGGTGTTTGAAACAGGAGTCAGACTATCTAATGCTAAGTAACTCAGTGCTCAAGTAAAAAATGCAATATTGCATTTTAATACTTTAAGTGAGAATTAAAAAAAAAATCCCAAGTATTTTTTTGCTGTTTGTTAAAAGCAGTGTATTTCCTTTAGTTTGTTGCTACTGCTCTCTGAAAAGACATAGCAAAACATAAACCAGATATTCTGATGCTTAACTGATACCCTTACCTCTGTAATGGACTTGACAAAGCGGATTCCATCATTAGCTCCTTTGATTTTTGCCAGACAGTCGCAGAAATAATCCCAGTAGTCTTTTCTGTTGCCCAACAATGTGCTTTTTTCTTTCTGGTCAAACTTAAACCAGGAAAACAAAATGCAGTGAGCACAATTTAAATAGAAATATACTCGTATATCTACTTGGAATTCTGTTCCTCTCCCAGCAGCATGTGCTTTCATGACTTCTCTTAACTTTAGCCAATATATTCACAAAGCAAAGAGACACTGCACTGTACTGATGCAATCTAGCAGTTACAGAAGCTRCTTTACTGACAGTTAAGACATAATAATGTTCTAGGTCTCTTTAAAATACAGACTTCCAYTCAAAACTGCTGGAAGAAAGATTTGCAGCAGTTTCAGGAGCTGTTCAAGAGCAATGAACCTACAATCTGAGAGACCTGCAATTAATTGTGTCAGTAGCACATGCGTATGGACCAGAAAAACCTGCTCTAGCTCAATCACATTCAGAGCAGCAATACAGCAAGAATATGGACTGCAGCTTGTACTATTCAAATCCCAAAGGATTTTTCAGTTTGCCCTAAAACCTCTGCAACCCAATTAAAACTCCCTTGCCTAGATTAGGCTAGATTAGTATGTCTTTGYAGCAATCAGTGACATGATTACAATATATGTGGACAGCACACTATGYAAACTGAATTTCAGTTTGCCCAGCAGTGACTTCTTTTACTTAAAGTTGAAGGGTGGACAAAAAGCAGCATTCCAGATTAAGAATCAGCCTTTTGTGTTAAGCCTTTCATACAATTAAAAAAAAAATTCCAAATCAAAATTGCTGAAAATTCTACAGATTAGTCACACCACCATGGTACACTGTATTTGCACCATTGAACAGCCTACTAATATTCATTTTGCATTAAAATGTCAAGATCTTACTGAGACAGTTTTGTCATCTTTAAAATCAAGCTCAAATATTTCAGATCAATAAAGAAATGCCTTACATTCCTCAAACTGGCAGCAGTTCCTTCAGATTACATTTATTTATTTTCACTTGAAATAAGTATAATAGGCAGCACACATTCCAGTCCACTTATCACACACACCAAAAAAATAAAGCAGATTCAACTGGATATTGATGATTGAGTTAAACCCCACATACTGAAGAGGCAGTGAGAGAAAACAAGGCCAAGTTTTGCTTGTAGATTATAAATTAAACAAACTAAGTGTTAAAACTAAGTGTTAAAAATTAAACACTTTTTACCTGGAGAAGGTACTCAAGCTTGTAGGARAATTTTTGCAAGTTGACACTGTCATCTGTGATTGGTTCACCTCCTTCTTTAAATTCTTTGCTTAATTCAGTCACTGCATCTTTTAAAAAAGATACCAAAAATAGTTAACTAATGCAAAGGATATATAGCACTAAATCCATAAGCATCTAAATAAATGCTTTCTTCATGGACMTGATGCATGTGGATTCCTTTTAGTTGAAATGTCTTAACAACAGTATGAAGAAATRACTGATATGCTTGCAATTTGAGACCACCTATAAGAAAAACAGAGCTCAAGCTATGTCAATCTGTTCCATGGAACTGTTCCTCTTAAAAACACACTTAGCACTTCTGACACATAGCAAAACCTGCTAACAGACAATTGCTAATTGCTACCTCAGCAGAGGGAAGAGAAATAACTTTTTGCTGTCTCATGKGCACATTAAGGTATTGCCACAGGACAAACAGAATTCTGATTAGAAAGGACAAAGCAYGTAATCTGCTAAAGGGGATCAGTAACACGAGAACAGTCGTTCAGTCAGCACATTTATCTTCTCCATGCTTTATTCAGGAAGGTTCAGCTTGTGCTGGTTACAAACACAAATGGAAAAATAATTTACATAAAAAATAAGCATACAGCAMCTCCTCTTCCCTAAAACATACCCCACAGTGGGTGAGGAAATCTCAAGTCGAAACACAGTCTATAGTCCCCTTGGACACTCTATCTGCAAAAGGATGTGATTCTCAGCATCAGAAATTACTGATTTTGAGCTTGCTTTCCCCTTGGCTTTATACTTATTTCAGGTGACTGAGTGAATTTTAGCTCCCAGTCCCACTTGATAACCCTCTGCAAATTAAAATTTATTCTTGTTAGCAGGCACATAGATGTCCTTTTCTAGGTTACAGGAAGATCTAGATTCTCAGCTTTGGTGCATGTACCCTATATTTAATAAAAATAAAAAGGAAAAGTATCTGAATCCTGTATAGGTAGCTGATTAAGACAGAAGGAGAGCAGGAAAATTATTAAGAATCTGATGCCAATTTTGCCTGCAACAGACCTGTTGAAAATTAGGTTGGTTACTTCAAGTGGAAGACAACTTAGGTTTCACTTCAGTGAGAATAGCAGGTATAATTCTCCAGCCCTCTTCCTCTGAGTCTCCTTTCCCAATTAGGTTTGGCTGCCTGTTTTTTTCTATTTCCACAGTACCAGCAACTCCACATCAGCTTCCCGTCATGGAAGGGCCTAAAAATCAGGCTTTTCCTTACTTCACATGAAGTCTTGTAACAGCTCTGTGCATGCTGACGAAGTCCTAGCTCACAATGCAAATCCCGCAGACACCTTGCTTTAAATTTAAAACTTATTTCTTATCTTCTATGCTAAATGTGCAGGATTAAGGTCCTACAGGAGGAACAGCACTTGTCTCACAAAAAAAGCATCAATCACACTGAACACTAAGAATTATGTTGCTAAAATTGCTGCAGGAAAGAGTTTCATAATTGAAAACACAATTCCTACTCTCTGTTATCTGAACCCTGGAGACTGCAGTCCAGTCTCTACCAGTCTCTGAACGTATCTGTCAGCATGGCACTCACCGTACCTTGCAAGTCTCTGATAATCCGCTGCAGTTGGCTTTCGCCACTAGTTGCTGCCATCTTGGAAACAAAAGGAACTCCCCTTCTGGGCTGGTAACCTTTTCATCCATCTAGATAAAAACAGCAGAGCTCATATCCTTGATGACCATTGGTTTGGTGCTGATTATTTTTCTCTGTGACACCTGCAATTGTAAAAGCCAAAAATAAAAGCGGAAGTCTTTATCAACTGAAATGAGTAGCAGAGAGGTGTTTAGGCATATTATATCCTGTCGAGTAATGAATTCTAAGGCCAACCCTTCTCCGGGAATCTCCTTAATATTTTCTTCTAGTTTTCATTTGCCATTTTAGCTATTTCTCCAGTTATATCTTTCAAAACGACTAAGCAAACCTCAGAGAGCAATTTTCTSTAGCTGGAGTTACAACGTAGTCGTACAGCCCAGCTCAGGCTGGCATTTCATGCAATCCATCTTGTGACCCTGAGGGAGGTTCCAATGACACGTGATTCCCTCCCCAAACCCTCTGCCAGATCTTCCCTACAGGCTGCAGAGTAAAAAGATAAGACAACTTTTCCATTTCAGAGAGACCTTCAAGACATAGACTAGGCATGGGCCAAGGAGTCAAAAATGATGCGTACTTGACTCTCTGGCACTGAAGCGTATTTTTAATGTGCAAGAGCTGCTGAAAGTGTTCTAGTACCAGAGCGTGATTTTAGCACAAGGAACACCTCTCAACCCCTTCCCAGAACCCACTGTTCCCAACAYATGCAAGATGACACCACTTTATTTTAAGCTCTGTTACAGCATCCCTGGCTGGATAAATATACCTTGCACCACCTTCCTTGCTTAGGACAACTACAAGTGAGTTGGCATGCACAGAAAATCCTTCCTTAAATAAAATTAATTAAAAGCCTCACACAACATTACTAAAACAACCACATCTGTGGATGCAATCTTTCCAATGCTAATCTGGGAACAATAATTCAAAGGAAAAAGCCACACAGAAACTACAAAGAGAACTTACTAAGCATCCTATACAAAGGTTGTTCAGAATTCTGTTTACAGAGGTACAGCCCAAGTTTCAAGCAAACATAACACCCAAAGTACTGAATCTTTAGAATATTCTAATGCACTCATCAGTGCTTTTTTTTTTCTAATTCAAGCTGAACTACAATGAAATTAAGTTGTAATTAAAATCTTACAAACTGTTGAAATCTAAATGTGATTAGGCCACATTATTTTATCTCCTTTCTGTTTCCTTTCTTTCACTCCCAAAACAGCTAAATTGGCACGGCTGAAGTAGCTGTCTGGTTAATCAAATGGATCATGCTTCCTACTCCATCTATTAAAGTATTGTTAGGAAGTGATCCTGATGTGATCCCATGTTCTTTTCTGTTTGAAACAAAGCAAACATTAACAAAGCCATAGAGACAGAAACTATTAAGTATAAAGAGGAGGCTGAAACTAGGCTTACTAGTGTGCTTCTCTGCATACCTGGGCTTTGTTACCTACCACTTTCCATTTCTATATTTTGATGCCAGTTGTTATGGCACAACTGTCATGTAGATTATGTGCTGTCTGGGGAGGGGCCTTGGCCAGCAAAAAACCCCCACCACAACTGGTTGCTTCCTGACCTGTGGCGCCAAACACAATTTTTTACCTTAAATCAACAGTATGACACRCCCAAGATTCCTATCTCGRTTCTACCCAGTGGCTATACAAAGTATCACACTTCTTGGCAACTTGCTGAGTTTGGGTACTAATGAAACAAAGCAAGAGTAACAAACTCAGTGAGTCGATGTTTCCTTTTTTAAGCACACWCAGTACTATCAGCCATATCTGTTCAGTTTGGCAACTGTAACAGAAAGAAACTGAAGTGAGAAGATTGTGACATGTGGGCAATCGAAGTCAAAAAATGTGGCCAAACCAACTGCTCTTCCTCACACAAAGAAGGAAAAGAACAAGAMCCCACAAGGGCATCCTGCCTGTGCTTCCCAAAGGCCAGAAAAARCTCCCATTCAAGGCTCCTGAGRCACAAAAGCTATGCAAGAGRCATGCCAGGAAAAYAGTGACCAGGCCAACTGCAGGCAKGTACAGAGAGCMTGGATGAGCAGGCAGTTGGGAACTGAGCCTTTATTTTGCAATAACAGCAAAGAGTGGGATACTGGGCATCCTATAGCAGCCAGGCACAGCACAGGACCTTGTCAAGTGCTAATTCCCAGCAGGATGTACAAGTAGACATTCACTGCAGGAGGACTAAGGCAGCTCAGACTTCCTCCAGCCCCAYTGACACTGCTCAAGTCAGTGTGTTTGCCCAGAAGTCACAGATAAATGACGACTGYGTGGACAATCAGTGACACACTGCAACAGAAGTTTGTATGTTCCCAGTGGATTGATCCTGTTGTGCCAAAGCAGCCCAAGATATACATCTTTATTCTTGTTTGGATCTCCTAGGTAGATGTGAGAACCCTGAAAAGAAACCACAACACAGCTAGAGGTATGTAAGCCACACAGCCCACTCSTGTCTTGTCTTTTCTCAATATCAGCAGCAAGGTCTCACAGCTTCCTCCTTCCTTCCATCAGCACCCATGGATGATACATGCATTTATTCCCTTCTCTTCCCAAAGGTGATCTTTTGWCCTGGGCTATTTCATAGGGCATATGTGCCAAAACTTTTTCTATTTGCCTTCTCTACAAAAAATGGGGAGAAGGTACTTCTCCCCTCCATGGTCTTTCCAAAGATGTTCTTAAAAACCAGTTTCCATTCCATAAAATGGTGCAGACCTCTCACTTCCTATGGCAAAGAAAGCTGATAATGCACCTTAACTGATTTCCCAAGGTTTCAATATAGGAAGAGTTTCTGTAAACACCTCATCTAGTCCTTCCTGATCACAGAACATTTTGCCCAGAACTCTTTAGAGCACATTCCTGCTCCTCCAGCATTTCCTATGCTACTGTGCACACCTGTAAATATTTGCTTTGTGAAAACAGCACGATACATTCCTCAGGCACGAGTGACCTGCTGTGAGTCAAAAACTTTTTAGATGATGCATTGTTCCCTCTTACATAACAGCACTGGATGGACTAAGGCTGATGRCATTAACTTGCCCAGAATGGCAGAGCTGCAGTGACACCAGGGCAGCTACACTAAGGACCTGGCACCCAGGAGGCAAGACAGGGCATGTCACCAGTCCCTCCCCACATTCCTGGGCCGTGCCTGCTGATCTCTGAAGGTGTCTCCTCTGCCTTCCCTGCTGGCATAAGTACTAGTGTGGGGGTGACAATCTTCTTTACAGAGGAGGATATCCTGGAGATTAAAAAAGAAGCAGAAAGGAAATAGCCCACATACAGRAAAAGAAAAGATTTACCTGAAGGGGAGTGAGGCAACATAATTTAATGACCGTAATTAAACTGGTTAGTGAAGCAGCTACAATGACCTACTTTTAATCTTATTCTATTACATTTCTCTTCAGTTTCTACACCATGTCCACATCTCCAGCAGCTACATTTTTAAAAAATTTTATTCATTGGTYAATTTTGGCCAACCTTGACAGAAGGTAATAATTTTCAAAATAATACACCTCTCCATGTGCAATCAAAACAGGAAGCAGGGAGGATGTCCATGAGTAGACTATCTCTTCATTGTTAAAAAGGCTACGGTGAGACTTCCATTATAGCCTGGTATCAGAGAATCCACTCCCCCCACCCAAGTGCACTTTCAGTGTGTAATAACTGCAGAGCTCACACAGCAGACTTGGTGTAATTCAGCTAAGCAGTAAATCAGATTTGCAAGAAATAATAATTGGAAACGAAGACCCACTACTTTCTACTGCTTATGGAAGTATTTCCTGTTAATATGAGTGCTCTGGTCTAGTCATTCCAAACAAGGGCACTTCATCACATGGTTCCAAATGGTATCACAAGACCTTTAATTATTTGGTTCCTGCAATCCTATGCCTTTTCTAACATTCTATATGAAACAAACCAGGCAAGTGAGGATACTGAGACAAATCCTATGTTTGTGAGTCACAGCAACTTTAACTGTGTTATGCCATTATATAGTGTGAACATGATTTGTCCTATAAAAGCAGATACTGACTAATAACTGGAAGGTACACTGTGGAAAAAAAAAATTAAAAAAAAAAAAACCCCACCAAAAAAATCCAAACAACCTACCTGGCCATACAGTTGGCTACAAGACACACTGACAAAAGAACTCTGAATGCAAACCTCACAGCAAAGATGAAGGAAGAGTTGGGAAAAGAAAGTCCCTAACTCTCACGACTGCAACACCACTGATTTAGTTAGATAATTTCATTCCAATTGCATAGAAAAATTACTTCATACATTGTTGTTGCAGCAAACAGAGTCACAGTGGAATTCATGGCAGCTGTGCTGCAGYTTTTCTCATTTTATACCACACAGGCCCATAAAAGCTGCACATTCTTAAAACTGATGAACTACTTGCTGGAAGTCAGGGTTTGAGGTATAAAAAAGCATGATTCTTATATCATGCACACATTATGTGCTTTTTACTAGGCAACTCAACCCTTTGTGTTTTAACACTGCATGCAAAGATACATGATTGATAAAAACACACACTGGACCACATTAATCAGGAGGATTAAAAACAAAAGGCAGGCACAGCCTGAATGACAGCTAKGTTTCCATTCCGAGAAGTGAAATTTTCTTGTTAAATTAATCTTCACCTTTCATTTTCTACATCAACAAACCTTCACATTTTAGTGACAAAAATATGGTTTGGAAATATAAACAATTAGCAATAAAAGACATATCACAGAAAATGTGTATCCAGAAAGACAAATTGTCAGATAATCATAACATAGTGGAAGAGAGTAAGTAGATGAAGTGCATAAAAACTTTCACATACTTTGTAAATGCTTGGCAGACAAGGAACATTTTTGCAGTTAAGGACTCTGTACAGTAAAGCTTTTTTTTTGTGGGAAGGCTCTTGTGCTCTAGGAATATTCGCATTTTACAACATAAGAACAATAATGACCTTCATAAAGTACTGCTTGTACTCCTAACCTGACAAAAGAGATTGACATAAAAGAACCAGTAAAATTTTATAAATTTTTTGTGCAATCTTTCCTATTCTATGGACAACTGACCTGCATTCTACATCTACTCTTTGTATTTGCAATGTCTTCTTAGAAAAAGATCAAAACTAGGCAACAGACAAGAGTCTATAGTGGCATGATAAGATCTCCATGAGACAGTTAATTTTTAACCTTGGGTGTACAAAGCTGGTAACCCTAACAATTTTTTTTTAATGCTGCACCTACTGAATTGGATCTCCTCTCCATCTGACTTAAAACTCTTTAAAACCTTACACTGTACTTTGGCASACAGGACAGAAGCATCAAACCAGTGACACAGATTCCTGACATGGAGAATAGTGTTTTGTCTGATACTCCTTCACATCAATAACTGTTGATCAACATGAACTCAAATGACCACTTTCTGCAAACAACAGCACAGGGATGAGCTAGTACATATCTCACAAAGACAACCTTGTCTCTGCCCTATCTCATGATGACAGAAGTTCCCTGTTTGAGGAAGCAGTCAGTTTACAAAGAGAAGAACTCTCTTCTGATAACAGGAATTGTACTAGTATCGCTTTTAACAAATTCATCTGCCCTTTTCCCTTAGGACACGCCAGACCTCACCCCATGTCAGGAATGCTACACCTTGTTTCCTAATGTCTCTCAATTAATCTGACCATAACTCTCCAGAGACTTGCTTCACCACTGCTGCAGCCATTGTATTTCATTCACCCTGGGAGAATTCCCTGCTTTCTCAGTGCCTTTATGGTGAGCTGAAAAGACACAATTCATTCAAAAGTGCGAAGGTTTTTTCCCCCTTCGTGCTCTAATTCTCCTAAACCATTCTCCCTGTGTCCCTCTATATCCTCCCTGCCTCAAAATCACTCTTCCTCTCCATAACTTACACAACACACATTCTTCTAGCTAGGCACATGATGCTCAGGTGCTACTCTGAGGAGCACTACGCAGACACCTACAGAAATAGAAACACCAGAGGACTTCCAGCTGCAAAGGACCATTTGGCAACTGATGACACTCAAATTGCTCATGGCACAAGCTTGGAGACTTCAAAAAATCTYACTTTTTCAGGTCTCCAAAACTGGTCTCTGAGCCTTGTTAATTTCCTCAGCAAGGCTGGCCTGACTAAAATATCAGCCACCTCTGAGACTTCGAGATAGTTAAAAGAAACAACCATTACATCCTGCCTCTGAACATGACCTTTTCTTAGCAGCATTTTTACCTCTGTATCTACTGTTGAACACTGTCCCTCCAAGCTGAGGTTTCAGAAATACTTGAAAAGGCTTCCTCCAGCTAATGGTTTTGGGAAGTCTGGCAGGTGGGTGTTGAGTCTTCTGTAGCACCTCATGAGTCCTTCAGCCAGCCAGCAGCTCCTTAGGACAACTCCTGGCCTATATGCTGCTCCCAGTGAAATACCAAYAAGCAACACTGAAAATTACAGGTTTTGACCACATACATGTAGACCAAATAGAGGGCGAGGCAAGCAAAAACCACGCTGAGACAGCCCAAACTGACAGGCCATTGAGTGAGTCATGCTGCCCCAGAGTCAACAGAAAGAATTCTTGTTTTCCTTCCTCTGTAGCAGGAAGTATGGAGTATTTCCTCGCTCCCTCTTTTCTTGTGAATTTTCCAGTGATGGCCATTTTGGGGGGAAGAGGAAGTTTTAGATTCCCAAAGATTTAGAATCCCAAAGATTTAGAAGCATTTGGAAGAGAGGCCTGTATGACACTGTCATGCTGGACGGCTGGGAACAGCCAGGTTCACAGATGACRCAGGCTTGGCATCAGCCCAGTTATTCGGGATATCCTGATCCAACYGGTTTACTTTCGAAACCTAAACTGGCTTGTAAAAGTCGTAAGACCTTTCCTGTCCCCATCCTTCTTCCCAGCAGGATTCATTCTGGGGTCAACTGCAAATATCTGGTGAGGTCACTATACCACCAACCAACACAGAATACTGGGATGGACAAAAATATGAAACCAAAGGAAACCCATACAAGTCAAGGTCCTGTGCAACAACAGTTTCCCAGTGCTGTTMCAAGCACTAAGATCCAGACACTTTGCATAAAAAGTTTACTTCTTCAACCAGTATTACAAAGGGTAAAACCTTCTTCACAATACATTTGGACAAAGGATTTAAATTAGTACTGTTATGGAATTTTTGGACACAAATCAGCCACCACTCCATGCACAAACTGGAATTAGTACATCAAAATGTGAACTGGATTAGATACAAGCTGCTAAACTTTCCTTGCTTGGCAAAATAAGCAAATAAGCACACAGTAATACAAATAAATAAATAAAATCAATAATGTGTAACAATAAAAACATATTCTCAAAAGCATGTACTGGAAGGGTTGAGTGTTTACTTGACAGACAACTGTTAAGTTTTAAACCAAGAAAAATAAATAACAATCCAAGTTAAAAAAAATTCAGCAYTACTTTTCCTTGGTTCCATCACATGATTTCTGCAATTTTACATACTTTTCTTTACATCTTGACTAGTTTTCTCTCCCTAGCTGTTTTTTTTTAGGTCTTGATCACCCACCAAACAAGCCCTAAGAGGAACCTAACCTCCAGGATGTTAGGACAAATTCCTGTTCCTTTTATGTAACCCTCTAGCAGTGGAGAGAGAGACTGCAAATATAACACACTCTTTCACTGTTGTCAAAAGGGGTACGTAAGAGATTTCTTTGCACATGAAAATCAGGCTCCACAACAGGGTCTTGAGAAGGAGTAGTGAAACCCTGTTTATAACAAATGCTGTCAAATACATAAACTACAGATACATGCGTGTGTGTGTATATATATATATATATATATATATATATATATACTACAACAAGCAAAGCAAAACTGACTTAGATACAACTTTTCAACTCTAGTGCTGTCTTCGACATGTGAATGTTGGGAAACACTATTTGAAACTTCTAGAATATTTTTAAATTCAAGCACTCCCAAGAGGATTATTTCAARACTCCAAGAAACTGGCTCGCACACCATAAAATCTGCAAAAGATAAACCCAGCTACTGCATGGCAGTARGAGAGGACATGTTGCCATATTATTGACAAGACAGAGAACATGTTTTACCCCCAAAGTTTCACCCCAGCTTGCCTTCATGAGCACACAAAGTCAGAGCTCAATAAAATCATCCACTTTCACTCTTCAGCATTGAACAGACAAAGGCCTGGTATTTCTCCCTCTGTTTCAACTCGAAACTTAGAACGTGAAACTTAGTTTCAAGTGAGAGGCAGAACCAGCAGTGTGACGTCTACAGCTGACCACCTCCGTGTGCCAAGCCAACCTTGGAAAAATCAACCGGAGGCTGGATGCAGTGACCCGGACAGAAAACAGGGCCCTGTGCTCGGGCAGCTGCAGCAGCAAGGAATTCACCAGCAGCAGGGAATTCACCAGCAGCAGGGAATTCACCAGCAGCAGGGAATTTACCAGCTCCCAGAACGCGGCACAGCCCCTCCACAGCCCGACTCACCACCGCAGGACCTCTGCCCGAGGGGAATCCAGTGCCCAAAGGAGACAGACAACCATTTCACTAAAACCTTGGGTTTTTTTCCTTCTCCTTGYTCACTCTGGATTACCAGGATCAACGTAAGCCGGAGGAGGAGGGCCGGCTACAAACCCGGCATCTGCTCTGGAGACAGACMCGGCTGCCCCGTGTGCCAGCAAAACTCTCTCCCTATCCATCCGCCGGAGATTTGCCGACACAAGGGCAAAGTGGGATTAGGGCCGCGGCAAATATTTGCYTGTCAGCACTTTATAGCGGGGTGAGGGCACGGACACGGGCGGGTGTTTGATTTCCAGCAGGGTGACTCCGCTCCTCCTGCAGCTGCAGGAGAGGAGAAAACAGAGGGCAGCGCTGGTGTTGGACTAAAGTCAGCGCTGCCCAGGGACACATGATGACACTTCGGGGAACTAGGACTGGAGAGCGGCCGATGTCCGCCCAGACGCTGGCCCTGAGGGTCGTTTGGGTGGGCTCCCAGGCAATGACAGCCAGCATCCAGCCCACTCCAGGCTGATGTTCTCCTGCCATGCCGCGCTCATCCCACCACCGAGCCGACCCGGGCACCCCCTAAGGCKGCCGGCAACTCTCTCCCCGCCGGGGCTCCTCCCCTCGGAGCCGAGCTCGGCGCCGCAACAAGTGGAAGCCGCCAAAGTTCCTTCCCCCTGTCCCCGTCAGCTCCCTCCGCCCGCCGCCTCCCCGCCCCGGCCCCGCCGCGCTCCCTCAGGGCTGTGCGGGAGGGCTCGCTCGGTACCTGCGCGGCCGCCGCCGCCGCCATGTCGCGGAGAGGCGGCCCGGGGTGAGGCTCCGGCCCTCCCGCCCGACTACAACTCCCGTGAGGCCGCGGCGGGGCCGCCTCTCGCCCGGGCCGTGTCCGGGTGAGGCGCCGGGGCCGCCCGGAGGCGGGAACAGACCGACCGCCGCGGGGAGAGCTGAGGGGTTTGGAGCGGGTTTGTGGGGGAAATCGCTGCTTTCGGCTGCAGCTGCAGGGCTGGGGTGCTTTCCTCTCGGGTGTTTCTGGTGCCCTCTGTAAAAAGGTCTTTTTTTACAGAATCACAGATTCTGGGCTCTGGAGGCGCTTGGTCCAACCCTCCTGCCAAGGCAGGGTCACCTCGAGCAGGTGACACAGGAAGGCGTCCAGGTGTGTTGGGAATGTCTCCAGAGATGGAGACTCCATGACCTCGCTGGGCGTCCTCTTCTAATGCTCTGCCGCCCTCAATGTAAAGTTCTTCCTCACACTGAGTTTAAACTTCCCTGCGTTCTAGTTTATGGCCATTGCGTCCCTGTGTTCTAGTTTATGGCCGTTGCTTCTTGGCCTGTTACTGGGCACCAATAAAAAAAAATATATTTAATACATTTTTGTTTTTTGTTTTAATGCAGTAACTCTTTAGTATAGTACCAGCTTTTAGGACAATTTTATATGTGGGTTTTCCTTTTTTTTATTTTTTTTTTCTCATTTGCACATCAGTTTATCAAGCTCTTTGCACAGACAACTGAAGCAAATGTAAAAGTCAGGCATGATAAATCTGGTATGCAGCAGATGTCCGGTCTCTGCTCTCACCAGTAGATGAAAGGAAAATCCTCATCCCTAAGATGAAGGGATGAGAGSAAATAGTCTCAAACTGCCAGGGGAGATTTAGTTTGGACAACAGGAAGAATTTSTTYGCAGAAKGTATGATTAGAYATTGGAATSGACTGCCCAGGGAGGTGGTGAAGKCACYGTCCWTGGAGGTGTTTAAGGGAAGACTGTGCATGGCACTCAGTGCCARTGCTTGACACGGTGGTGTTCRGTCATGGGTTGGACTCAATCTCAAAGGTATTTTCCAATCTGGTTCTGTGAAAGATGTAGGCAGGGATTTATATGTCCACATAAAGTAAGAGACTGAGAAAAAGCAGGTGTGAAAGTGGAACAAGAGGTTGCTTCCTGAGCCAGGGTGTRGGGGTGTACAGGGGGCTGGGGTTCCTAACACTCCCAGCACCAGGYTTCTTCTACAAGCAGCCTGTTACCTCTTTTCAGATTTCAACCCTCCCGTAATGCATAAGATTCTATGAAAGGACATTTCTTTCCCAGTGCCTGCAATAGGCTACACTTGTTTTGTGCTTGAAGTGCAAACTTGAAGAACTTCCTTTGCTTTTTTCACATTGCTTTGGTAAATAAACAATTTTAAATTCAACTTGTGAGCAAGCAGTTTGTCATCAGTTCTTGYTATAATGCTTGTGACTTTATTAGCRTCATAAACATCAGCTTAGGCTGAAGATCAAAGTGTCAAATTTTCAAGACTCTTGAGGAAATATACATAGTACGTAGTCACTGACATGTCTCCATCATCCTCCACATAAAAGAATGACTAAATGACCTTAAGTTTTGGTGATTAATCTTCATCTAATGTATGGGGTTTTTAATAGCTCAAAAGCATGTTAGTGTCCTCAGAAATGCAGGTTATAGGGCTATGTGTGTTGCAGGCACATGACTTGTGAAATGCAGTGGGATGTCTCACATAGTTTGGAAGCGACCTTCAGGCTTACTTTCCTTGGCACGCTTTGCTGAATCATGCAGCAGTGCCAGGAGCATCTGCTGAAAAGGAATGTTTGTTTTCCATTGATCTCTAGGCAACTGGGTGTCTTCCAAAAGTAATCTCAGGATCATGAGACACGAATAATRGTAAATCAAATCCCATATAATTTCACTGCAATGGATTTTATTTCACATATTTTCAAAAAGAGTGTGTGCAATTCTATGCTTCACTCAAAAATAATCAATTAGAATGGATTGTTCCTCCTTTTAATTATGTAGTAACCAGATACTTTCAGAAATATTTAATTATTGATGTAAATTATTGAATTATTGCCTGTTTATGTACACAACAATTTCTTCAGAGAAAAACATGCTGTTTCCAGCTAGGTTGATAAATGACCAATACTTCCTTAGAATTTTCCATATTTCCTTGTTTCTTAGCAATAAAAGATGTAAAAGATTTTTTTCTTTTTGGAAGCTGCTCTAGAAAAATAAAAATGTGTTGCATGCTCTGTGCATGTTGCTTTCTGTGTTTTTACTCTGGTAAAATGTATTGATTTACTTCTTCAAAAACTATGATGAGCTGTATGGGAATTTTTTTCAATTTTACTAGCTCAGGAAAGGTAATGTCAGTCATCCCAGCAAAAGGAAAKCCTTTGTTGGGAAAAGTCTTTTCACTGTGTGAGGGAATGTAGTAGAGGTAGCCAACTCGATCAACTAGAACAACTAAATTGCTGCTTAATGATCTCCTGTGGATAGTGGATGAGTATTTCAGATAGTCTCTGAGTATGTGTCCATAGAATGTTCTTTCCATCTGTCTGACATTATTGTTATATGTGCTACATATTTTCTTTAACTTTTTTTCCCAGGAGTTAATTGGTGTTATATAATGACTGGAAAGTCTTTGCTTCCCCTAGGCACTTGAGGTATTTTATGTGAGTAGCTAACTCCCAGTTTCCCTGGTCACCCTCAGTGGATTAACATACCATTGTAGCTAGACTGAACAACAGGCTGCTGTTCATCATCAGAAACCTTCTGTGACTGTGGGGAGAAAGCTTTGGAAGCACTTTTTGCRTTTGTTGGCATTCTGTTTTGAATAGGTGGACAAATAGTTGTCAGTAGGTATAAAGCTGGAAGCAGGCAACATAAAAAGAACCAGCAGAGCTGTGGAAAATCTCTAGAAGCAAATATGGCATTTTTGACARGTTGGCTGAGGGCTTGGAAGAATATTCTGCTAAATATTAGGTCAGCTTCTGAGACTGATTTCCTCTGGAGCACATCAGRTTTAGGAGCTATCACTACTCAGAAYTGGCTGCATTTCACTCCTGTGTGGACAAAGTAGGTACCAAAAGTTTGGTCTGATTTGGTGCTGGTTCAACTGCACCAATGATGATGTGGGAGAGCCAAGACATGGACTCTGGACTGTGCAGTTTACATGAATCTATATGGGTGCCACATGGATAAAGAACATATTCTCTTTGTATCTCTTTACTGGAAGAAAGCAGCATTGTTGGAGGTGATACCTCTGGTTTATGTCAAAGTGAGAAGGTGCTTATGAGGCCTATGATTGAAAACTTTCTGTAAACTTTTTTAGATATTATCAAWATACAATGTAATAGCTTTCAATATGTTATCAATAATAACATTTTCATATATTGTTGTAAGTTTTTATATAGGGTATTAGCAAAATACAGTGCACCAGCTGGATGTAATCCAGCCAGCTGGATTAGTGCATAGGCACATAAAATCACAAGTGGCATAAATCAGAAAAAGTTCTGAAGAAAGTAGACAGGTAGATGCTATAACAAGAAACAGTGGCGAGCACTAATGAGAACTTGGCAGAGGCACAGGACAGTCAGCAAAATAATGGAAGATGAAGACTTGGAGGACTAGAAAAAAMCATGAACATCACAACTGTGCATGCCCTGAAGACAAAGGTTAAAAGTCCACCATGATGAAGAGGATGGTATCTCATTAGAGGGAGACCCCCACGACCACCGAATTGAGGATGACACATGCGCACTTGCAAAACTGTGATATGTATTTCTGTGCCCATATGTGGTGGTGGGCGCAGTGACAACAGTTACACCATGCTGCACACATTTATGAGTCTGATTCTTGCCCTAATTAKGATCAGAAGCAAAATTATCRTTGATTTTATTATAAACCGGGCAAYTTCTTAAACATATGGTTAGAGATTAGCTTTGCCAGAAAAGATCTTGGATTTCAAGTGTACAAAACGTTGAACACAACATAGTCATATGCCCTTGCAGCMGTGAAGACTGTTTAAGGGCCTGTGCTGCCATCAGGCTGAGGAAAACCTTTATTCCCCTCTGCCTGGCATTCATGTGGTCACAACTGCAGTGGCCTATCCAGTTTGGGGGCCACCAGGGTGAGAAAGAGACATTGACTGACTGAAGTCAGCTCAATGGAGGATCACTGARATGAGCAGGAGTTGCAGCAAGTGAYGTACGAGGAGACTGAATTGGCTGACATAAACTCCAGGAAAAAACAAGGTTTAGGAGAGATCTGATGKCTCTTTTCTGTTCTCTGATGTGAAGATGTAGAGAAGGCAAGGAAAAAGCAGCTTTCAGCAAAACATCACCAGGTTTCAGCAAAAGAAATATTGTTTGTATAGAAGCAAAAACATCTACCATAAGAGTTGCTAAGCATTGCAACAAGGACTTGGACGAGTTATGGAGTCTCTGTTCTTGCAGATTACCAGTTTGATCACACAAGGCTCTGAGTG